TTGAACGTACTGACGCCCTTTCTCTCTCTTCCCTACCCTACATGCCATCAGGAAGCTGAGGGCTTAATCATACGACCCGGCGGACGCGGCTCGGTCTTGCCCAAACTGGGCCTGGAATCGCCCACTGTAAGTGTTGAAAATCTCTCACTTCCCAAGTGGATGCAGTAAAACCAAAAAAAAACATACACAAAATACACCCATAAACTATTAAAAAAAAAAAAAAAAAAACAATGCAACGTATATAAATAATATATATGCAAGTAGTGGCAAATAATCACAAGTACTCCCACACACACACACACACACACACACACACACGCACACCCGCACTCTTATCACAAACTTAAGAAGTGTGTATATATATTAAATAGAAATATATCATTTCTAGACGGGAGCGTATCTTATATCGTATATAAACAATTCCAAAAACAGCTTAGAACACACACACACACACACACACACACCTACATAAAATTTAAATAAAATAATTATTTATGTGAATATGCTAAAAAAAAAATGGAAATTAAGACAAAGCTCATTATTTTTATCTCTCGTGTTCTTCTCGTGTATCCTTGCATCATCCAAACAAATAATTCATCAACAATTATCACAACAACAACAACAACAACAACAAAAACAACTCTACTTAATTCGCTATAAACATTATATCATCTACATATAAAAATACATATATATATATATATATATTAAAACCTTATCTCCAACTCATTTACATACAAAAAAAAAAAAAAAACATAATATAATTCACAAAAACTTAAAGAAATTGGAATATCTGAACCTTGTAAGTAGTGTTTTTTAATGTCTCGTTCTCTCTTACAACTATCCAAAACTATCTATCTACAAAAACTATCTATCTAGAAAAAGTATCTATCTAGAAAAAGTATCTATCTACAGCGAAAGCTTTCTGGCGCGAACTTTGTTACTTTTAATTTAGAAAAATAAATAAATAAAAGATATTTATTTATTTAAATTTGAGAAATATCTAGTCTTTGAATTTTTTCAAATTTTTACAATTTCTTTTCTTAAAGATAAAAGTACTTTTGTTTAAATATATATATTTTTTTTTAATTTCTTGCGTTCGTTTTATTTTCTATAATTTCTTATACATCAATAATATTGAAACTGAAACCAAGTTTGCTTTAGAAACATGTTCGCCTCAGGGCAGCTGTTCGTTAGTTAGAGCTTTCACTGTACTTTTAACTACACTCTATTCCTTTCTCCTGGTCCTTTGTAGCACTATCTATGTTTTATGTTTTAGTTTAGCTAATTAGTTATTTAAATTTCCTGCCAAAAGTTAAAAACTTGACCCGAAACCCGACCCCGCCGCCCCCAACTCTCATCATTTCACACATGACATACTCATGAATGAACATAACCTCAAATTGTATATACATAGATATTGCCTTTAAGAAATATAACTAAATGTATTTCGCTGCCCCTCGCCGCAGGCCACGCCCCATTTGCCGACGAAGCGCCGCTCGGTTGCCCGCAAGGTGCGTCCCCAGTCCGTGGTTGAGAATCTCAGCCTGAGCCACATACCCGATCTGCTAGAGTCGCCCTCATCGCATCGCTCCAGCTCGCAGCTGTCGTCGCGTGGCGCTGCCGCCGCCGCTGCAGCCGCTGCAGCCGGAGCTGGTGGCGCCTCGGCTGCCGGCCACATGATGAGCGACAGCAATGCGGCCATGGACGATGGCAATGTGGACGAGTGCTGTGATTCGATCACGGAGCTGCCCAGCGCCTCGTTTCAGCTGCAGCATCTGGTCAAGGGTCGGCCCAAGCGCGCCAAGACGCGTGCCCCGACACGGCCGTTGGTTAATGCTGAATGCGCCGCCGGCGCAGTCCGGGATATTGGCGATGGGTTGGAGCACTTTTTTCGGCCCGGCTCGGTCACGCCCACAACGCTGACACCGCTGGTATCGCCCACATCGGAGGAGTGCAGCTCGCTGTCCTTTGTGGACAGCCCGACGATGAGTCGGGACGGCAACGGGCACATGACCTCCGAGGAGACAACGCCCATCATGGAGGAGCGACGACCCATCAAGCTGGAGCGCCAGTCGCCATTGCTCAAGAGTAAGTGCCTCCTGACAGGGAATCTTTCGACTGTTTTCCTTATTCCATTTGCTTAATTAGGCGCCTCGTGGGCTACGCGTTCGCGCTCCACGGACAACCTGGAGAAGTATTCGCCGCTGGTGGGTCGCAAATCGCCGCTGGTCAAAATGCGCACGGAGGGCGGCCCCGGCAATGAGGAGGCGGCAGCTGCCGCAATCGCGCCCAGCGCCGCACTGCTCAAGCCGGGCACGCGCGACGAGAAGATGCGCTCGCCCAGCAGCGACTCCATCAAGAGCCATGCGACAGGCGGCGCCGTTGCCAACGATGGCAGCCTTTTAGTCAAGACGGGCAACGGCATTCTGCGCACACCTCTCGCCCTGCAGAAGCCGCGTCCCTGGTCCGTGGTGGGCAGCGAGCCGAAGGCGAACAACGATCTGGTCACGGGCAATGGCAGCATCGACTCCACCAAAACAACGCCCGATACCCTGGAAGAAGGTGCGTCCAACTACATTTATATTTCTGATTTGTCTAATATATCTATTGCCTATTTTCAGATATAGAAGTTCTTCCCTTTGGTCCAGGCATTGCGCCAGGTGAGTGTCCTCTAGAGATTAGCCACAAATGTTTTCCTTCAATTTGCACATAAATTTTACAGGCGCCGCGCTGGAGAAGAAATCGGTGCGGGAGCTGGCCGCAGGACTCAGTCGTTTGGGTAAGCATGAGTCGAGCTTCTGTTGCATGTTGCCTGCCTGCACCTGGATGCGTAGCTATAGTTGATATATATTTTGATTTTTATGTATTTACACTTTACTTTTACTTTCATATTATGATTTGTTGTGCTTGTACCTAAACCTGTATTGTATTGCAAAAATCCAAAGAACTGCCCCTCAAGCCGCCCGTAATGCCCAGAACCATGTTGAGCACAGTCAGTCGCACGAGCACCGCCAGCAATGGCAGCAGCCACAGCAGCAGCAGCAGCAGCAACAACTCCAGCGCAACAACAACAATGACAACAACAACAAGCACAGTATTAAACAATCAGACGCGCTCCAAGATCACCAGCACGAGCAGCACCAACAGTGCAACGCAGGAGACGCTCAGCAAAACCATCATCACGGAGCACGGAAACAGCAGCAGCAGCAGCAGCAGCAAGAGCCAGAGCACGGATCATGCCATAGCCTGTGCCAGTCTGATCAGCAACGAGATCCTGAGCATGCGCAATGGACAGCTGGCGACCAAGCCGACCAGCTGCGCGGAGAGCAATGTGAAGCGCATTGCCGGCAAGGAGATCTCAACGCTATTCGAGGTTTGAGCGCGCACCAGGATCGATCATCATCATCATCATCATACCCAAAAGCTTCCACTCTCATGCTGTCTCTGTGCTGTGGCCATCAACCGGCGTCTAGGCATATACCTTGCAATTCTGTGTAGCTTTAATGTTGTCCATTTTAATGTTGCTTTCATTCATGAATTTGTGTGTTAATTTGTTGACAAAATTGTTTGTTTCTAATTCGTTACGCATTAAGCCTGACACTCGCCCTAGCTATACACGATATATGTATATATATATATATATATATTCTAAACCGGATTCGAATCCAATCTAACCCACAGGAGACATTAGTTGAAGGCCTGCAACGCACCTCGACAAGACGCACCTTTAGAGATTCGCCCTATACCAAGGAGGATGTCGTCGATTTATAAATCCTGTCTATTATATGTGCTCAACTCGACATTCCTTCTCCCCCCAAGCACCAGACTTCAAGTTATGATAATGTTTATGATAATAACGACTATAATGATAATGATAATGATTATGATAATGAGAATGCTGCTAATGAGCAAAGGTTGCAACTAATTCGTACTGAACAATTTTTAATTTATGTGCAATGGCGCGAGCGTATATTGTGTGTGTGTGTGTGTATTGTTTTTAAATCTTTGGCAATTTTTTAAATGAACGTGATTTATTTATTTATACTTTTTAACCCAAATAACTTTTGCATATTTATAAAAAAAAAAAAAAAATAGTGGAATATAGAACCAACGTTTTTATGTACTATATTTTTATGTATTTAAAATGAGTTAAGTGCCAATTATATACAACAAAACAAATCTATTTTTCAATTTATCTATTGAAAACTAAAAAAAGAAACTAAACATAAATAAATACGAAGAAACTAACGAAGGGAACGCAATGAATATTATGATATATTTATATGTAAATCATTTGCGTGCATTTAACTAATTTAAAGGCCTAAACAAATTAAATAAACAAACTTTAATGAAATGTAATATTTTTATAAATGCTTCCAAAAATAACTATAAATTGATTGTTTTTTTATTTCTCATTATCATTTCCATTGGCATGAACGACAATCTGTTTCGATTAAGAGATTATTTTTTCTTATATATTTTCTAAAAAAAAAAGTTAACAAATTTACGCTAAGCAACTAGGCAAAAAGAATTACTAAAAGAAAAAATGCATTTAACAAATTACAGAAAAACTACATTTGACGCATCAAGCAAACGATTTCATTTAACTGAATTAAAACAGAACACTTGTAGTTTGCACGTATTAATAAAAAGAAAACAAAATGTTTATTGACAACATATTTCAATCCAATCCACCACCACCGAACCGCGAATACACTTCCTATTTGAGAAGTGCTCCCCCAATAGTTGGCTCAAATATGTAGTTTGCCATTCGATTCAAGACAAAAGAAAACGAATAACTGTAACGTGTTCATTAAAGTTTAAGCACTTGCAAATTTATTGTAATGTATTGAAATTCAAATTAAAATCAAATCAAAAAAAATGTCAACTGAATTTTCAATTTAGAGCCGCACGATTAATTCTTCGCTGGCTGTCGAACGTATCGATAACTGCAGCAGTAATATCGATAGTCATATGCTTGTGTATTTCCTTGTTTACGAAACTCGGGCACACTGCACCACTAACTCGCGTCGGCTTTGGTTGTATTTTTCTGAAATAGGGCAAAAGGAATCAACAAAAAATTTCAACTGAATTAATAAACAATTTTTTGTACGTTGTAATCAATTCCTGCCCCGTCAAGATGGTGAAACTAACACCCGAGTTGATCAACCAGTCCATGCAATACATAAATCCATGCCGTGAACGTGAGCTCGATTTGCGCGGCTACAAAATTCCACAGATCGAAAATTTGGGTGCCACATTGGATCAGTTTGATACGATCGATCTCTCGGACAATGATCTACGCAAACTGGACAATCTGCCACATCTACCTCGGCTTAAGTGCCTGCTGCTGAACAACAATCGCATCTTGCGCATCAGCGACGGCCTGGAGGAGGTTGTCCCTAATCTGAGCTCCATCATATTGACCGGAAATAATTTGCAGGAGCTGAGCGATTTGGAGCCACTGACAGGTTTCAAGAAGCTGGACACAATATGTTTGCTCATCAATCCGGTGTCCACAAAGCCCAACTATCGCGAGTATATGGCCTTTAAGTTTCCACAGTTGCGCTTGTTAGATTTCCGAAAGATCAAACAGAAAGACAGGCAGCTGGCACAGGAATTCTTCCGCACCAAGCAGGGCAAAGAGATGCTCAAGGAGGTGTCCAAAAAGTCCAAAATAACAGCTGCCGCGGCACTGGCAGCGGAGGCGACCAACGGCAAAACAGCAACTGAAGGCGGACGTTTTGCTAATCCCGAGGATATGCAGCGCATCCGCGAAGCTATCAAGCGTGCCAGCTCCCTGGCGGAGGTGGAACGACTGTCACAGATACTGCAAAGCGGGCAGCTGCCCGATAAGTTTCAGCATGAACTGGGCCAAAATGGTCTCAACGGCACGGCAGCCGCACCGGCCGTGGCCATGGATTACTAGCTCTAGTACTGTCGTCAGCTACCTTATAACTGTAGAACAATCTTTTAATAAATCGGTAAAAAAAAAGAATACAATCTTTAATTTATCTCTGCATCTTATAGATATCTATAGTTCTCAACAGGTTGCTGTATTTGTATTTTTCACAGAAAAAATCTCAAAACTCTATACAACCGGCGATTATTGTAAATATTTAAATCAAATGCACATGAAATTAACGTAATTGGCTACAAATTTTAACAATCTACACGGACAAAAAATCAATCGGGCAATTAGTAAATATGCTTTGGCTCTGCAAACGGATTTGCGGTTTAGCATTTGGACTGTGGAATTGGTTATTGCTTGTCTTGCAGTGCGCGCTCCTCTCTCTCGCTCTCCCTCTCTCTCTCTGTTTTCACGTATCTTACTCGCTGGATATGGCTAGTATTATGACGTCTTCGCCGCCATTATTGTGTCGTAGTGCAGGCCGGTGTAGAAGATAATCCACGTCACTAGAAATCCGGCAAACGATGTCATGAAGCCCTCCTTGACCAGCTCCCACGCACCGCCATACGCATCCTCGTCCACATTCTGAAAATTTATGGCATACAGGTAGACAACGCCGCAACTGATTCCGGCAAATCTGCAATTATAGTGTATATACGGCGGAGCTGTAGCACTTTCTATATTTAGGTGCTGGTACCACTTACAGCACAAGGCCCAGAAAGCCTTTGAGCGGCACAATACCCCAGATGATGCCGAGTATGATGCCAAACACCTGACGTGACCAGTATATAACATCCAGAAATTCATCCTGCAAACGTGTGCAAATTGTTAGCAAAAAACACGCGCTTCGGTCTTTGGTCTAAGCTCTTTGGTATCTCACCTTGTCCTCCCATTCCGATTTTGTCATGGCTCGCGCGCAAATTTCACGCAGAGATGAGGACTTGGCACTGCCATTGGCATTGCGTTCAATTGTATTTGTTCTGGTTGCCATTTTTTGTGTGACCTACTTTTAAACAAATGATTTCCACACGTTAAATTAATTAATTATTTTTCACTATCAGTAAAGTTGGCTATGCCGATATATAACTTATTGTGATATCGATAAATTGAATATCGATAAGCATTAATGAAACAGCTGTGTTCCGTGAAATGAACTAAAATTGTGAGCATAATTTGTTCAATTGAACTTTTCAATGCAACTCTAACGTGGTTATGTGAACGCTTGTTATTTGCCGAATTAAACAATGTTACAAATTAGCAAGCTTTGCCTTACAACATCCAGTTTAATTGCCGGTAAGTAGGCCGTTATAGTGACCCTGTTACATTAAGGTAAAGTCATATGTTTTGCCTGATAAACAACAACAGCACAGCGTCATGTCGGACTCACCGCCGTTCGGTGCATCGATCAGAGCTGGCGGGCGGCCAAGGGATTGCCGGAGAATCCCAATGCATTTGGTCCACTCACAAATATGCCCGACTACACGTACCTTGATGGCAGGACGACGCCGCTGGGCGTAAGTAGCATCAATTTATAACAAATATATTCAGAATCATCCATTTGTGTTGCAGTCCAACCAGAAGAAACGCTTGATGAAGCAACAGGAGATTGCGGCCAAAATTGTGGAGCTCAGCAGCGAACTGGACTTTGCCAAGCAGCGTCACGAGCGTCTTAAAATGCAGGCCCAGGCCGAAAAGCAACGCATTCTGCAGAATAAGCTGAAACCAAAGGGTCATCTCTTGTTAAAAAAGAAATAGTCCAGATGTAAAGCCTACTTATTGGGTGCCCCTTGAATGTTCATTAACGTTTATGATATACTATTTTCACTATTACACAGATATGATTGTTATCAGCTCATATTATTTTTATCTAAAAACGTGTTTGCTTTATTTGGAACAGCAAACAACAGCTATAAGCCAAGTGTCAAGTGTGCCCTGTGGGAGCCGCACGTTATATAGAAAGACGTAAGCATGGTAAAATTAATGGTAATTAAATGTTAAAACTCTTGTGACGCACATTGGACAACAACCTGTCCTGGCAATTAGATGGCCAGCTCTTAACGCATGTGATTTTTGGCTGGTTGCCAGATTTAACCTGAATACAGTAAGCACTAAAATAAAACAGCTAAAAAAACACCCAAATGGGAATAGAAGTACAACTTATAGATCACGTAGCTATAATTCAAACATGTTCAAATTAAATTATGTAAACAAGGAAATGAACAACATGTTGATTTGTAAGCAAGGTAAATGGTATTGATCTCACGCTAGGCACTACGCTGCCGCTGGCACAGCCGCTTTGGATAGTGCCCGTACACCTTTACGGATCACGCTTTTAAATATTTATATACATTATAAATTACCAGCTCAACATTTGCACAGCTTTGCTTATTTGCGCTCCCGATTTTGAGCATATTGTTACTATCAATTAGACGTGAAGTATTTTGCACGCCTCGCTTGTTATTTAAAATATTCGTTAAATGTGTACTCAGAAAGGTATTCCAGCTGCACGAAAGCTATTTCGGCAGGCATATTACGGATCGCATACTGTAAGGAGAATCTTAAAGTTCCCAGTTTGTGGCCAGCAAGCAAAATCAATCAAGTTTTTCACAGCTCTAAATCAATAAATATCATTGTGCCAGACATAAAAATTTCCACATTTTATTTGTTAATTAATTTTAACGTAAATGTGCCATAATAAAATATTGATATATTTATTTACTTTCACACATGGAGCCAGCTAAAGGGGCCAATGCACATTTCGGAAATTTCCCACAGACAGTCGCAAAAAAGAGTTAAATTGACTGAATAGAGTTCAGCCTCAGCTATAGCACACGAATCATAAAGCAAGTGTCGCACTTATTGCACTTAATTAGATAGAAGCTACGAAATTTGGCATAACAAGCCCAGGAATGGCTAAAGAGACAAAATAGAATGCCTTCACATCGTGTAGGTGTGATGGGCGATGGAAAACGTGAGTGCCAAACGTGATATATGGCATATCGCTAATCATGCCATTGACGTGACACGCTCAAATTTGACTTTAACCACAATATTTGAACAATTTATGCCGCACTGCTGTCGTTCGCTGCAAGCCACGGCGTATACGTAATATTTGTTGCATACTTATTTACAGAACTGCTGAAACTGAGGCTAAGCCGCGGGCACGCACTAATTATTTGCGCTGTTTTTTGCAAAATTTCACACTCTATTTGAATGCCGAAAATATTTACAAAAGCGTTGTTTATTTGGCCCATGGAATATTATGAGAAGCCCCAAAGAAATTGTGGAAAACAAATTCGCCGATTTCGTTGATTGACCAAACTGATTGTTGTTGTTGCTGTTGCCGTTGCTGTTTACGAGTGTGGAGCTTAAATATTTATTTTTATACCAAAGACGTTTTATTCAATTAGCATGGTTATATTTATATTAAATCAAATCAATCAAATATTGAGTAAAATTAATGACCCGTGTATTGTATTAAAATTAACATTAGATACATTTAATCGGTAATAGCATTAACAATGTATACACGTGTCGTATAATAAAATAATAAATTCATCAATGAATCAGTTTCATTTGAAATTTTACACCTGTCATTTACTGCTGCATGCTAATCTGAGCTTATATTTAGATACCTATGCCATATACCATATATAGACATCAGATCGTGCGCAGACGGCGCAGACAACCGCAACATTTCGCCTGGTACTAATCTTGACGTCATAAAAAAATCCAAAAGAAAAGACAACAGCAATGTCGGAAGATTGAAAATGTCTGGCAGAAGAAACAATTCCATGGTTATGGAAAATATACAAACACAAACAATAAACAAAATGCTGAAAAGCCATAATCAAATTATTTGATAGACGTCAAATCTTTCCGCATTGTTTTAAGTTTTCCAAATCAAACTAGAATCGCGCACGCGGCTAATCAAGCGGCAATTAGAGCCCTGACCACAATCTGAATCATTTGGAGACTCGAAAAGCATGCGCAGCATCCAGACGTCAGTATAAAACCGAACCGGCTGCTTAAATGAAAGCGATGAGCGCAGTCCAAAATTGCGTCAGAGCCGACAAAATTCAAAGGGAAAAAAAACAACAACATATTTTCACATTTGGGTGCGAATCAGCTCACATTTTCGTATAAAAGGCCGGGATTCTTTGGAGTTAAGCACACAGAAGCAACGCAACGTTCCAAGCAAACACAGCTCAACAAGAAGAAACTTCAATTATTCAAAGGATAACAAACTCTCAACAAAATGCAGCTTAAGGTAAGCATTCTCTACAGCGCACTTATATACCTATATATACATATATCTTTATGTGTATATATATATATATATGTATAGAGTATATTGCACAGTTACTAATTATCTTGTCTATCCACAGAACATTTATACCTCTCTCAGCCTGCTGCTCAGCATCATTATCTGCAACCTGTCACAATGCAGCGCCAAACCAGCATACTATGATCTGGATAACTATGAGAACGCCTATGAGTACAATCCCAGAAGCGACGACAGCGACAATTCCTATGCCGTGGCCTATGGAAAGCCCCTCACACGCAACAATCTGAACAAGCTGAACACGGGCTATTACTATGTGGATAATGGCTATATTGCGCCGGTCAGCGGAGCGAGTGGCTCCAACCGTCGCAGGGTGGGTGAAGAGGGCAGCGATCAGCCATCAGCTGACACCTACAGATTCACACCGCTTGTGCGCTTCAGGAAGACACATACAAAGCGCAATAAGCTTTTTGTGCCCAACTTATTCGGCTAAGCTGCAGCCGTAACTGCCCTGGGAAAACGAGAGCACAGACTGATGATGTTTGTTATTGTATATACACACACATATACGTATATGTATTTGTTATTTAATATTAGCATAAGCTCACCAGCAAGTACCTTATCTCATCTACACTAAGCATATATATTTATAAAAATATAATCAAGAAAATCAGTTAAAATAAATATTTATACCAGACATGCAAAACAAATATTTAACACTTATTTCAACAATCTAAACAAAAGACTTAAGGCACGAACTTGGTTTGAAGTTACAACCATTGATGCAAATTATTTTTCTTTAGTTTTCAATACTGTTAACAATTATCAAAGTGAATTTTAGCTGGTCGTTTTACAAGTCTATAAATATCCACTCTTAATATAATATACAAAAAAAAAACTCGGTAAAAAGTTAACCGGTTCTCTTTGTAAAAAAAATGTGCAAGATCTGCCTTTATTTAACCGAGACTTGTCATTAAGTAATTTTCATAAATTGAAGTTTTCGAAATCTCGTGTAAATATGATTAGGTTTTCAAAAATTGGCTTTAGTCTCTTACTAGCACTAATGATTGTTATTAAAAGCTGGTATTCAGCATTTTAATTAAACTTGACAAAACGGCACAACTCCTTACAGAAATTATACAATATGTAATATTATATTTCGAATCAGAAATTTGTAATGTGTGCACATTGATAGATCCTTAAGTCAACCCACATTGATTGTCAGTTCATAGATCCTACAAAAATCTGCAAGGATATGATCGCGACGTTTCTTAATTCACAATTTATCTTAAGCATCATAATAAACTACCAAAGTAAGCAGAATATTGAATTACAAATTGGCAAATTTACCCACTTATGTTAAAATTTTTTGCCACGTTCGAATTACCCGCCAAAAACAGCTCTGTTCATTGGGGAGCACATCTGTTAAATGTTAACAGAATTCTGTTAACGAATGGCAAAAACAGTCAGCAGGTGTAAGCAACAACATGAAAAATACCAGACCATATTGAGACAGCTGACAGCTGTGCTGTCGTCATTTGCAGAAGAGGAAGAGGTATTAGCAATTTTAGCGTCTGAGAAAAGAGTAAATTTCTTTCAGTGAAAGATGAGTTTCATGCAACCGAGTCCAGTTAAATACGCTTGCTCCTGCGGCATTTTGAATCCAATCAATAAACTGTTCTTCTGCCGCCACTGTCCGAAGCTGAGATGCGGTTTCTGCGTCTGCCATGAGATTGAATCACACTTTTGCTCCAATTGCCTGGAGAACATACCGTCCTCGGAGGCCAGACACAAGAAAAACTGCTGTGCCAACTGCTTCGATTGTCCTTGCTGCCAGCACACGCTCTCCGCGCGCGCCACTACCGTTCCAGTTGTACGCAAACCTGAAGAGCCCAAGGATGGTGAAAGTGGGGCGGAGGCCACGCCCAGCCCAAAGCCTTCGGCCATGCCCACCACAAAGAAAATGTATTATTTGTCGTGTCTGTCCTGCCGTTGGACCACACGTGATGTGGGCATACCCGATCAGGGCGTGGCCACCGGCACCTGGCCGGATAATGAATGCTTGTACCAGGCGCGCTTCAATACGCTGATGGAGTACTATCAGTCGGTGGTGCTGCAGGACAAGCAGGAGAAACAGGAGTTTCTGCGCCGCAAAACGCCTAAGCAGCACAAGTTTCCCAGTCTGACCGATCGCACGGGTCTGACAGTCTCACTGATACGACGCCAAATCGGCTGGACTGAGAAAAGCGTTCCCAAAACGAAACCCATCAACATAGCGCCCGCCGAGGCCAGTGCGGAGGTTGAACCTCTACCCGAAGATATCTTTACGCAGCCCATAAATCTGCGCAACATCACAACAGTGGCCCAGCGGCATAGCCAGCCAGCGGATCAGCCGACGGCCGTGAACAAGCTGTATCCACAGCGACGTTCATTGTGGATCAAGCGCTCGCTACGTTGCCGTCAATGCGAGCACAATCTTATCAAGCCGGAGTATCATCCTACATCTATCAAGTATCGCATACAGCTCTTCGCCAGCTACCACGTTCCAGAGGTGATTATGGTGCGCTGCGAGCAGCCGCTGCAGCCCGGCCAAAGCAATGCGATATTGCTAAAGTTGGCCAATCCAACCATGTACGACATGACAATTAGTATATTGGAGGCGGTTCCAGAAGACGCCCAAATCAACACGGATGCCTTTCAGCAGGCGTGCAGAATCAAGGAGGAAGCGATTACCTCGTCTCCTCTACTGAAGACCACGGGAGTTACTCTGGCGCGTCAGAACTCGACTCGGGAAGTGAAGCGCGAGGTGCGTGAATTGGCCAATGCCTCGATTGTGCCACTGGAGAGCCCATTCGTGCTGAGCCAACGCGATGATTCCAAGGAGTTCGATGAGGATGTTCAGGCGCCCATCGAGGAGCCCAAATTCATTGTTTGGCGCAAGGGCAACAAAGTGTTGATACGACTTCAGTTTAGTCCAGCTGCTGACTTACAGCCTGGCAACAAGGTGACACTGGGCTTCTACATGCAGTACACATACGTCAATACCGTTTCCAATACTCCCGACAAGAAGGATCCGACTACACATGCTCTATACTCAAGGATCTTCATCGAGGCTGGCGAAATAGCACCACAAACAGCTAATTAACTTAAGCAAATCGATACTAATTAATCATGCTTTAATCACTCTATGTGAAATATATTTATGTAACTAATATAACGAATTGCTTGTGGGGCGGTTAGTATTACCCTTAATTATGTTAATCCAGGCAAGCACTGTATCTGATCATGTATAATAAAAGCCTTTGCTCTGGATCAAAAAACTCTCGGCGCACCTGTCCATTTCTCGCTTTGCTTCCACAAGAACTTGATGACCTTCTCATCTGTGGCAGTCTCCGCTACTTCCTTTGGCTTGCAGTCGCTAAAGTACAGTCCAGTCACGTCATCCAAGTCTGGATCAAGTGCTGCATACAATGTGGTCTGTGCCCCGCTCTTGGGCGTTTTCAATAACGGCCAGAAAAGTGGCTTGATAAAGTTGCTAAGAATTAAATAAAGCGAACATAGAGAAAGGTATTTTCCATTCACTTGACTTGATTCTCACTTACATCACAAATTTGGACTGTGCAAGCTGAAGGTTTCTGAATATTTCCGTATCCACTACGCCGGGATGTAGGGCATTTACGGTTACTCCCGTGCCAGCCAAGCGTTTGGCCAGCTCTCGCGTAAACATGACGTTCGCCAATTTGCTCTGGCTGTATGCCTTGCCCTCGTCATAGGACTTCTCGCTATTCAAGTCATCCGCATTGATTTTTCCCATCGCGTGTGCCAGACTGGAGACATTAACAATGCGACTGGGCGTCGATTTCTACGAAATATGAAAGCTCAGCTGCTCTGTTTTTCATTTAAACGCATTTGTATACCTTTAGGAGATCAATCAGTAAAATGGTCAGCAGAAAGTGGCCCAAGTGGTTGACGCCCAGCTGCATCTCGAATCCGTCCTCCGTGAGGCGTCGCGGCCCACGAAAGATGCCGGCATTGTTAATGAGAACGTGCAGTTGATTCTGTTCCGCCTTAAAGCTTATATTAAATAACTATGTATATCAAGAATCAACACTACAAACAGTTTCCGACTCACTCTGCGACAAATTTACGCACGGACGACAGCGAGGATAGGTCCAGTTCAAGAAAGAAAACGTTTTTGTTTTTAGTCTCCTTTATAATTTGCTTACGCGCCTCCTCAGCTCTATTCCTATCCCGACAGGCCATATAGACTGTGGCGCCTCGTCGGGCCAGCTCCCGAACAGTCTCCTTGCCAATGCCCGTATTTGCGCCGGTAACAATCACAATCTTGCCGGTTTCATTGGTTTCTTTTTTGAATTGGCCACCCTGCATATACTGCCTAAAAGAATTTCAACTATAGTATAGTATATATTATCGTAAAACAGTCGCCATCTGTTCCACCTGATAAAGTAGACCGCAAAGCCAATTGATGCAGGCCAAGCTATCAATGGGCTTAGTAGGTAATCACTGAGCGTCCACATTTATTTGAGGTCTTCACGGCGCCAAGTACGAAAATAGACTGTGCTATGGAATGGCACAACCTGGTATTTATAATCAAGCTATGCTGCAATCAGTCGACTGATAAATAATAAAATCCGCGATAACAAATTTAGATTAGGCATATTATCGCATACATATATATACACCAATGACTGCTATTTTTTAATTTAAAAATTTCATTGTCTTAATACTAATCTAATTTCTTGAAGTGAGTCCATTTCTCGCTCTCCTCCCAAAGGAGTTGGCCCATTTTATCATCGGTCGCAGCGGGCGCAACCTTCTTCTCAGCACAATCGCTGAAGTATTTGCCAGTTACATTACTCAATTCCGGGTCTAGAGCTGCATATAAGGTAGTTTGTGCTCCGCTTTTGGGCGTCTTGAGCAATGGCCACAACAAACTCCGTAGAACATAGCTGCAAACATGACGAATTTGTTGTAATATCAACATTTGGCTATCAACTACAAATACGAACCGTCCAAATGTGTTATTTAGTATCTTCATGTGTCTACCGAGTTCTGTGTCAACCACACCCGGATGTAAAGCATTCACGGTCACTCCTGTGCCCTCCAATCGTTTAGCCAGCTCCCGCGTAAACAAAACATTCGCCAACTTGCTCTGGCTGTATGCGTTGCCCTCGTCATAGGACTTCTCGCTGTTCAGGTCGTCAATGTTGATGCTGCCACGCGTATGAGCCAAGCTGGAAACGTTGACAATACGGCTGGGCGCACTTTTCTATAATGAAATTGGAATGAATAGAAGCTCAATAGTTTTAGATTCTTTATTACCTTTAGCAAATCCAGCAGCAAATTGGTAAGCAAAAAGTGACCCATATGGTTGACGCCCAGCTGCATTTCGAAGCCATCCTTTGTCAGCATGTGTGGGCAACGCATAACGCCCGCATTGTTAATGAGAATGTGCAGTTTATCCTGTTCCTTCTTGAATCTAGTTTAATAGAAGTTATTAAATGGAATATTATGCAGTAGGTGAAGCAATGCTTACTCAGCAACAAAATTGCGAATGGACTCCAATGATGCCAAATCGAGTTCCCGAAAGAATATATTTTTGTTTCCCGTTTCTTGTACAATTTCCAAACGTGCTTTTTCTGTTCTGGCCTTATCCCGACAGGCCATATAGACAGTGGCACCGCGACGAGCCAGCTCAAGTACCGTCTCCTTGCCAATGCCCGTATTTGAGCCGGTGACAATTACCACCTTGCCGGTTTCATCAGTCTCCTTCGTAAACTGGCCACCCTGCATGTACTGTCTGAAAGATGAGAGAAACCGATTAATTACAATGCATACAAATAGATATTAATATTATCAATTAGCACTAATTGTACCTAAGAAAATAAATACCAAGGCCAAATAGAGCCGGCCACACGAAGCATGGGCACAGAAGGCAATCAATGAAAGCACACATGTTTCTGTTCAAGCGCTCGAAATCAACTGAAGCCAACTCAATTGTTACGAGCTGTTTAAGTATACATATACGAAATATGAGTCACATATTTTGCTTGACTGAAAACTCACGATGACAGTAATCAAATCGAGCGTGCGAACCTACTAGAACTAAAATGAGCGCATGAATAATTACGCTTTTTATGTTGAAATTTGTTGATATTTATTTACATAAATAACCAAAAAATAATCCTTATTTTTTAGAGGATAACTTTATTCAGTCTTGACATCCAGTACTGGTGCACACGTCCATTTTTCGCTCACAGCCCAAAGCCATTTGGCAGTTTGTGCATCTGTCGCAGCGCCCGCTACTTCCTGAAAATGGCAGTCGCTAAAGTATTTCCCAGTTACGTTTTCCAACTCCGGATCGAGCGCTACATACAGACTCGTCTGTGCCCCATTCCTGACCGTCTTAACAAATGGCCAAAACAGAGGCCGAACGAACAAGCTGCAATACAAGCTGGTTATCAAGCTGAACCCAAGATTAACTACTCGAATACGTACCCTGCAAAGAAGTTGGTAAAAAAGCCCATATGCCTAAAGAGTTCAGTGTCGACTATGCCGGGATGCAGGGCATTAACTGTTACTCCAGTTCCCTCCAACCGTCTGGCCAGTTCCCGTGTAAATAGAATATTGGCCAATTTGCTTTGGTTGTAGGCCTTTGCATCATCATAGGACTTCTCACTGTTTAGATCTCCCGTGTTGATTTCACCTCGCGTATGCGCCAAACTGGACACATTTACGATGCGGCTGGGACACGATTTCTAAGATATGGCAACGAATTAATGACACCATCTTGTTGGTCTAGTACCAAAGTCTAGTATACCTTTAGCACGTCTAGCAATAAATTTGTAAGTAGAAAGTGTCCCAAGTGATTGACGCCCAGCTGCATCTCAAACCCATCTTTGGTCAATGAACGAGGACAGCGCATGACACCGGCATTGTTGATGAGTATGTGCAGATTGGCCTGTTCCCGCTTGAAGCTGCAAGAATTTAGCCATCGTATAACAATTGTACGAATGCAAGAGGATAACCTACGTGGCCACAAAGTTACGTATGGAGTCCATGGATGCCAGATCACATTCGCGGCAGTAAACGTATTTGTTTTTGGTCTCTAGTACAATCTCCTCTCGTGCCTGTTCGCACTTTTTCATATCTCGACAGGCCATATAAACTGTGGCTCCCCTTCGCGCCAACTCCCGCACCGTCTCCTTGCCTATGCCCGTATTCGAGCCGGTAACAATAACAACTTTGTCCGATTCATCCGTCTCTTTTGTGAATTTGCCGCCTTGCATAAGGTCTCTTCAAGCGGGAAATTTTCGTTTTAACCAATTGTTGAATTAAATGCAACTGACTTACTTTATAAAACAGGCGCAACCCACCGAGGTGCCCGCCACGCTTGCCCAGAATATTGGCCGGCTTTTTAGAAACGCAAATAACGTCATTTTGTGCTCGGATAAATAAAAAACACGAGTCCACAAACTATGTGCTGTTGTGCATAAATACGCGATCGCGATGTCTTAGGGTGTTCGCACTTGAAATACCCTTTGACCAATTGATGGCTCATACGTAAGCATTGCACGCATGCTTGTAGCCCATAATTGTAAGAACAAAAACGAGCATTAATTTATTTATGTTTTTTTTTTAATGTTTAAAGTAAGTGTAGAATTTATGTGATATGGCGTGTTGTGTTTCGTGTGAAACTACTGCTAAATATGTAGGCTCATTGCGTTTAGGTACAGGGTATCATAGCCAGGGTTGCTTACCTGACTTTCGAAATTAAACTAATAAAACTTACTTAATAAACAAAACTGTCAATCCAATTAAAAGGAGCCATACCAAAAACGAATTCAATATACAATCAAGATCCAAGTTCATCTTTGCAGAGATTCTTGTTAGAACTTTGTAAGCGCAAATTAAATAAAAGCTCTTCTTCTTTGTTTGAATTAAAAACAGGGTGTTTCAAGTCCACAAGTTTGTCAGACGTGGGCTTGTTGTGTTTATTTTATTCCGAAATTTCACGTGAATAAGTATACGTTTCTTAAGAACACAATATCGTCCGCCGTGTGTGAGTCAAGTGACAGCACGCTCAGCGCCAACGGAGACGCATTCAATTAAAACCGAGCCAAACAAAATATAATGCGTCGAAATGTGTAAGTCAACGCCAACTCGACTGTTGCTTTGAGAATAATCGAACAGCTTCTTATTTCAGGCGCCAACAACAGTACAACTGGGAGAATGGGCAGCAAGACGGAATGGACGATATATTTCTCAGACCCGCCCATGAAAGCAACGAGATTATGGATTTGGTTCAGTTGGCAAACAGATCCAGCAACGGAAACACAAAAGTGTCGCGTTCTGAGAACACGCTGGAGGTGAAAGTACAGGAGGGCGATACACTGCAAGCTCTGGCACTGCGGTTCCATTGTTCTGTAGCGGACATTAAGCGCCTGAACAAGATTGATCGCGATAATGAGATACATGCACGTCGAATTATTCGCATTCCAGTCACAGTACACAATGTGCTGCTGGGTGCCAGCGACGTCGATGCACTGCCTTGTGTTCATCGTAGCGGGAATAACAGTCCCAGGCACAATGTGGACCTAGAGCCGGCCATCGAGCGCAATCCGCTGGAGGATGCACGCATGATGCTGGATGAGCGACTTCTGGTGGCTGCTGTAAATGCTTCCGGTCCTGTAGCTGGCGAAGTTCAGCCCTCAACACGCAGAGATGGAAGTAAATTTTATGAAGGAGCTCATGGCTATCCAGATGACGAGGGTGAGTTGATTATTTATTTTTAATTTGTAAGCTGGCTGGCATTGAGTTATCATATTCAAAATTTCAATGTGAGCTCTTAACAGCTGATAGAGCTGGCCAACTAAGCAAAGTCTTTGTGCGTTAGAGTCACCCTGTGTGCAGTAAGGCGCACTTCTGTTAAGTGTTCTGTTAAATAGGGAGTGAAGTTAGGCGCAGCCAGCAATTTGTTTAGTCATTCAAAATACGGCCACACTCGTCAATAAAATTGCCAGAAAACACAAGCGTTGGCGAAAGACACAAAATTTAGTTAATAATTCGCTATTGAAGAACTAAAACAAGATGCCGGACTATCTGGGAGATGATCAGCGCAAAGTAAAGCATGACGAGAAGGAGGAAAAAGAGATCAAGTCTCTAGATGAAGGCGACATCGAACTTCTCAAAACGTACGGCCAGAGCCAATACCACAAGTCCATAAAGAACATCGAGGAGGACATACAAAAGGCCGTTAAGCAAGTAAACGAGCTAACAGGCATCAAGGAGAGCGACACGGGCTTGGCACCGCCAGCCCTGTGGGATTTGGCTGCCGACAAGCAAATACTGCAGAATGAGCAACCGCTGCAGGTGGCGCGTTGCACAAAGATTATCAACGCAGACTCCGATGATCCCAAGTATATTATCAATGTGAAGCAGTTTGCCAAATTTGTGGTAGATCTGGCCGATTCTGTCGCCCCCACAGACATCGAAGAGGGCATGCGAGTGGGCGTTGATCGCAATAAGTATCAGATTCACATACCGCTGCCACCCAAAATTGATCCCACAGTCACGATGATGCAAGTCGAGGACAAACCAGATGTTACCTACAGCGATGTGGGTGGCTGCAAGGAGCAGATTGAGAAGTTGCGTGAGGTGGTAGAGACGCCGCTGCTGCATCCCGAGAAGTTTGTTAATCTCGGCATTGAGCCGCCCAAGGGCGTGCTCCTGTTTGGTCCGCCCGGTACGGGAAAGACATTGTGCGCTCGTGCGGTGGCCAATCGCACAGATGCCTGCTTTATTCGTGTCATCGGCTCGGAGCTGGTGCAGAAGTATGTGGGCGAGGGCGCACGCATGGTGCGTGAACTATTCGAGATGGCCCGTTCCAAGAAGGCCTGTTTGATATTCTTCGATGAAATCGATGCCATTGGCGGTGCCCGCTTTGATGACGGCGCTGGCGGCGACAACGAGGTGCAGCGTACTATGCTGGAGCTGATCAATCAGCTAGATGGCTTCGATCCGCGTGGCAACATTAAGGTGCTGATGGCCACCAATCGACCTGACACATTGGATCCAGCGCTTATGCGTCCCGGTCGCTTGGACCGTAAGGTGGAGTTCGGACTGCCCGATCAGGATGGCCGTTCGCACATCTTTAAAATACACGCCCGCTCAATGTCCGTGGAGCGAGACATTCGCTTCGATCTGCTAGCACGTCTGTGTCCCAACTCGACGGGCGCTGAGATACGCTCCGTGTGCACTGAGGCCGGCATGTTTGCCATACGTGCACGCCGCAAGGTGGCCACCGAGAAGGACTTCCTCGAGGCCGTCAACAAGGTTATCAAGAGCTACGCCAAGTTCAGCGCCACTCCTCGCTATATGACCTACAATTAAGTTACGTTTTATACAGCATTTCTTTATTTTGCTGCGCTGTGAGCCTTCAATTCAAACTGTAACTGCTACAGCTGGGCTTTAAGTAAATAAAATATCCAAAATATATAGTATTCGCCACTTTTGGAGTATTGTTTCTTGCTAGCTTTTCATCTGTCTTTGTTCATGTGTATAATGCTGCATTTTGTTTTGTATATGTGCAGCCAACATGGAGCAGACGTTGGACGACAGTGCGGCCTTGCTGGATGATATGCTGGTGGATAGGCATGCGCCAATTGTGCGTCCCATTCCGGGTCCCTCGCTGCGTGCCATTGACTGGTCTGGCTCGGATTGCGACATGTCCTGGATATGCCTGCTAATATTTATACTCGCACTCTGTGTTGTTATACCGCTCGTCTATGTCATTTATCTGGCGGAGCATCCGCATCACAATCACACCTCATAGCTCAAGTGATCATCATTCCAAGTGTGCTAATTGAGATGATAGGCGAAAAAACACAACTCTCACTTTCTTGCTACGGAGGAACGCATTTAAAATGCAGCTGCGAGACGTAGAATTTATAATTTTTTTAAAAAATGATTATATACAATTAAATAATAATTATTTATCATAGAAACAAAGAACCAATTGTGACTTGTACAATATATATTAATAGACTTGACAAAAATAATGAATGTGTTAATGTAAAAGTCTCAATTTTATGAAAAATTAAATTAAACAAATCTTAATTGGCGAATACAGGCATCTAACAAATACTTTAAGTGTGGTAAAACAACAATAATTAGTATAACTGATCATAAGTTTTTATTCATATAAATTAAAACTATTTATAACAGTGAAAGAACATATTTATCGATACATATATATATATATATATATATATATATGTATATCGATCGATGTACGGGTCATTATGATAGTTAAAAGGGTTTTTCGCGGGGCTTAAAGCTAAATACATATCTTAGCGCTAAATAAAATATTTAAGAGATTAAATAAATAGTATCCATGGATATAATTATTTAATTATAATAAATATAAACTAAAAACAATTATTCGCGCACACTGGGCGTAACTTTTGGGTTAAGTACTTTGAAGAATACTTTTGATTGAATGTGTACTATGTCTGTCGTTTAGATGGAGGCCATGGCACATGATTATTTGGTCTTGATTTGGTATCCAGGATGCTGCTGTGCACCATTATTGTGCATATTCCCCATTGTGGAATATCAGCCAATGGCCGCACAGCCAACTGTAACTTAGTTGCATTTATATTCACTTGAACTTTAAGTTTTCAAAGTAAGCAATATTGCTCCTAAGGAAGCCTCTGCGCACGGGCACAGGGCTCGCCGGCGAGGCGATGGGTATATTCATTGCATTTTCTTCGGATTGCATAGAGGGATCTCTGTTGAAACAATTGGAGCATATGTTTAACTTAAGCCAATTAAAATACTCAAAATACGTACGTTTCCAGCGATGATAGATCGGAGGCAATTGTGGATTCATCGGCCACCTCGGCTATGGAGACGGCACGCTGCAGCATATGCTTACGTGATTGTGGCGAGGTGGGCTGCTCTGAAGCATCGGGTGATGCCCTCAACTTGGCATTTTGCAGAGTCTAATGTACTTATATATAGAATATCCATAAAGTAGGCTATATACAAGATTGACCTACCTTGGCACGCCAGCGTCGTTCGGGTTGGGTGCGTTTGCTGGTCAGCAGAAAGGCTTGAGCCAGCGCCTTCACCGAGGGCAGGGCGTGCACCACGTCATCCTCAACGGCTGGTTTCTCTGTGGGCGTGGCTGCTGGCTCAGGCTAGAAAAAATACACACATACACCTGTGAATGGGCTGTCCAACCACTATTTGCTGGCAACTTACCATTTCATCATCATCGTCTATGGACAATACTTGGCTTGGCTCGATTAGACGTCGCTTGGGCTGCAGAAATCTGAAAGCTGGCGGCGTGGAGCCGCGTGTTGGTGTCATTGTGGGCGATGCGCAGACGTTGGGCGTCGCGTCGGCGGGCCCAAATTGCAGCACGACGGGCCGTTCACGTTTGCGCGACGCATCTATGGAGGAGGAGGAGGAGGGTGCACTCAGTGCAGACTCCATAGATGACGTGCTAGACGTGCTGGGCTGCTGCTCCTGCGCCTTGATGACGGTCGTCTCCTGCTTATTAAAATCATAAACGCGCACAGTGTCCGAGTCATCGCTGGTCGTTTGCAGGGATTGATTCGATTGGGTCTCCAGACTGGCGTTGCATCCAGCTTCCAGCACCTGAGCTGGCAAGGCTGTGTAAATACACTTGTCATCCGGAATCTCGACCAGCTGCGCTTGTTCCGCTGCAGTTTTGCTTGCTTTTTGCGCCTTTTGATAAAACATTTTGTTTTTTTCGTTTGGTGTTCATTGTGTTTTTTTGTTTGTAGTTGTGTTGTTGTTGTTGTTGTTTAGGTACATTTTAGGCATGTTGTGGTTAGTTTTAGTTTGGAAAGTTTAGATTTAAATATGGAAAGAAGAATTGTTTAGGTACAATAGATTATTTGGCACAAGCTTTGTCGAGCTGTTTAAAGTTCAAATGCAAAAAAAATTATTCAAAAAACGCAAATTTTCTACATTTCAAAGCAAATTTCTTGCTTTAAAAATTTAAAAGTTGTAATTCGATTTAATTAGTCATCAACTAAATTACTCTAAATTATGTATTTACATAAAATTATTTATAGAATAACCTACAATATTTGAATATATTGTTTTTAATTTTTAAAATATTTCTTAATTTTACACACAACACATTTTTTTTGGCGTATTTGAACTTTAAGCATGATACTCGCATATGTCTGGGCTGATGTATAGAATGTGATGTACAGAATGTGGCATCAAGAATGTGATGTGGATGTGGTAAATGTGTGTGGCAAGTGGTCAAGCAGCAACATGCAATTGGGATTCGTTTTAGTTACAGCTACAAATAGATAGCAACTAAGTTTAGCAGAGAAGTGAAACAAATGCCGTTAGTAAAATGCCATTAACAATAATTATATAATTGAACTATTTATTTAGCAATTGTTAGTTGCTATTATTGTTGTACTCACCCCGTTAAAATTCAGGTTTTTACTAAAAACATTTGTTTCATTTAATATTGGTTTGTTGTTTAACTTTTGGCTTTATTTATATTGGTTGTTTATAAAAAGAAGTTAGCAATTAATTATGTATGAATTAACTAAAGTGCATACAAGAGTTATGTTTAAAAATTAACAGCAACAAAATCATAATTAAAACATACAAAAGAGAATGCTGCATATTTTACGGCGCATTAGCATTAATAATTAGGCAATTAGCATTTAAATTATTATTTAGCTTGCATTTATATATTTGTTGTTTTTTACAATTAGGTGAAAAAAAAAACTGGAGCTCAACATTCTCGGGAGAAAGTATGAATATGCAAATTGTTGGTGGTGCAACTTGAGGTGCGCTTATATTTTGGGATATTTTTGTTTGGAAATTTATAATTTCTTTGAGCAGATGGCACTGCCTGCCTTAAAGCCTAACCATGCTGGAGATTCTATGTGAGTGGGTGTGGATATGTGTGGGTGTGGATGTGTGTGTGTGTGTGGGCGTGTGCGTGTTGCCTTTACTGACTAGTTTTTTAACTTGGCTGACTAATATTTTGGCAGAGACTACACCTAAATGCTACAGCTACTACACAGAGGATCCCGAAATAAGCCCAATTACCCGCCCCAAATAAATCGACCCTCCTCCCATTTTCTTGACGCGCACACACTTTCCCTAGAAGAGCAGACTATTATTGCTGTGCTTGGCATCAGCCCCGCTGAAGCCGTTCAAACAGCTGTCCACACCCGAGTCCTGATCGTCCAGGCTGGGTTTTGTCTGCATTTCGCTCTCGTACAGAGGATTCATCACGAAATCCTTGGAGGTGGCGGACACAGCACGAAAACTGTTGCGTTTGAGGTCTTTGTGCAGCAGCTGTTTCTCGAACTGCGTAAGCACCGCAGCCGAGGGACCCACCGAATGCCGCTTCGAGGCGGACGAGCCAAAGGACATGCCGCTACCGTTGCTGTGCAGGCTCAGCGAGGATTGCGTATGGCGTTTGGGCAGCGTGCTGCCAAAATGTTGCCCCGTGCTGCTGCGCCACGAGCGCTGCGAACGTACGTCAAAGTCATCTCCGTCCGGTTCTAGGCCTAAGCTGGAGTCGCGATAATGCGACGCCGACGTCGAGGGACGCTCGTAGCCGCCGGCCAATGTTAATGTGGGGCAAGTACGTTTGTTAATGAACTTTAGCGAGCTGCTGCGTCGCACGGGCGTCGACAGCGTCCAATGTGTGAGGAGGTCAGCGTGGTTACTTTGAGCACTACTTGAAATGCGGTTGCCATGCGGTTGAATTACCTCATTGATGACAATGTCCTCATCCGTCTGCGCCGACGCTGGCTCCTCCGTGCTGCTGCACGCCACTGAAGCCGCCCTTGCGCTAGTGGGCGTGGTCACCTGTGGCGCATTGTTGATGTAGTAGTCGCGACTGTAGCTGCAAGATGGAGTTTGGAGTTTGATACGATAGTCAAGACTGAGCTCCAGGAGCACTAACCGCTTGTAATCCTCGACACGGCTGGCGGGCTCCTCATCCGAGCCCCTCATCATAGCCAGCGCCTTCTGCTCGGCACAGGCACTTATGTTGGGCACATCCATGAAGCGTTCCTGTGTGCCGCTGATGCGCTGCTTCAGCGCCTCCGGCGCATACGGATTGTTGGGCATTTCAACGGCATTCGACCACTTTCTGACCTCGCGTTCCGCAATTGAGCCTGCAAGTGGCTTGCATTAATATTTAATAGCACTAACAATAACAGTTTAAAGTTCAAGCTAGACTCAAGCAACATGTTAGCCAGTCTAAGAGGAAAGCAGAACAGTTACGGAAACACAAGAAAGCAAAGGTGGGCGACAAAAAAGTGGGAGACAACAAACACCGAGTGATGACTGTGTTGGTGGCCATAAGTGCGTGTTACCTGGGGCGAAGCGCCGCAACAGTACAAAATCATCATCATCATCATCATCATGATCAATATCAAGTTCATTATTATTATCATCGGCATTTTGATGGCCACCATTCAATGTGAGAACGTGGCCCGACTTGCTCGACCATCTTAGTGAACCATTTGTTAATTTACCATTTGGCCGTGTTCGTGTTGTGGTATTTATGTTAGTATTATTGTTAGTATATTTGTTAGTATCTGTGGTTGCATTCGTCTGCGTGCTATTAGAGACTGCCTCATCTGGATAACTATCATAATTGTGCACTGAGTCGACGTCGCCGTCGCCGTCACCGTCAAAGGTCTCGTGCGAGGTGGACGGCGCGCTCTCATTGCTGTGATTTGAGTCTGAGCTCAGTTGATCTGAGAAGAGAACATGGTTAATAAAGTTAAAGCCAATCTCTGTCAAGCTGCCGACAATGAAGTACTCGTCATCATGCTCGGCAATATCAAGCGATGTTTGGCTGGCAATATCTGTGTGATAGTTGTCTAAATCTACATGAGAGCCTTGCTTCGACTCTTCCTTATGGCTAATACTATAATCTACATCTTGCCCTGCTGCTTCGGGTTCATTAATCTCTATATTCAAATCTAAGCTAACGGGCTGATAGGAGTGGAGCTCGTCAAACAGACTGGGATGTGCTTCGTATTCTATAGCATCTGGCGGCTCATCGAAACTATCAAAGGAACTCAGGTATTTGTGCATAATTAGTGCGCGTTGGCGTCGTCTTTGGATTGTGGCCAACAGTCGTTTGTCTTGAAGGTAAATCTTGCAAATGGTCCCTAAGAGGTTCACAGGTCTCGCAGCTGAGTCACCATCGCTCGGTGTTGTGTCTGGGATATTCGGCTGTCTTCGCAGGCACTTTTGAGACGTTTTACCTAGAGCGCAATTATCGCTCTTCACAGATTCACTTGTCAACAGATCGGCTTGAGTTTCATCACCGGCCTCTAATATTAATATATCTGTTGCAATTGTTGCTGCTGCTTCTTCGCTAGCGACTTGTGGCACAGCGGAAACCTCCTCGAAACCGCCTTCCATAAGATCAGCCTGCGGCTTTGTACTAACTCCTGCTGGAGGAACATTTCCAAGTGCTGGAGTCTCCACCTCCTGCTGTGGTATAATAATTTCAGCATTGGCAACCTTCTCAATTCCTGGTACATCCTCCACGGGAGCATCCGGTAACTCAGATTTATTTCCTACTAGAGAAACTTCCTTGATTGCTGGTTCTTGAGCTTCCCCGGGAACAACTTGTGGCTCTTGAATAGTCTCAGTACTAGCAACCTCCTCAATTGCTGATATTGAAGCATCCTCGAGAGCAGCCTGGGGCTCAACACTAGAAACCGCCTCAACTATTCTCGGAACAGCCGTCTGCTGTAATTCTGATGTAACTTCAGCTCTAGCAACCTCCTCAATTACTATTGCTGGGTCTTGATCGGAAGTAACCTGTGCCTGAGTATAATCAACCTCGTAACCTTCTGGCGCTGGAGCCTCGTGGAGAATAGCCTGTTGCTCTGTTGCAATCTCAGCACCAGTAACCTCCTCAACTGTTGGTGTTGAATCTTCTTTGAGGGCAGTCTGAGGCTCCGCACTAGCAACCTCCTTAGCTACTGGGGCTGGAGCCTCATCGAGAATTATTTCAGTACTAGGAAGCTTCTCAATTGCTGGTGTTGAAGCAAGCTCCTTGACTTCAGACAACGGGACTTCCTGCGATGTAGCCAGTCGCTCTGTTGCAATCTCAGCAGTTGGATTTTCATCAACTGCTGAATCTTTCTCGGAAGCAGCTTGTGGCTCAGAACTAACAACCTCCTCAGTTGTTGGTGCTGAAGCCTCCTCGAGAGTTGTTTGAGGATCGGTAATAACAACCTCTTTAATTGCTGGTGCTAGAGCCTGCTCGGGTTTAACTTGGGGACCTTGTGTTATTTCAGCACTTCCAACCTCCTCAATTGTTGGTGCTGGATCTTCCTCGGGAGCAGGTTGTGGGTCAGTATTAACAACTTCCTCAGTTGCTGGTGCTGCAGGCTTGTCGAGAATCATCTCAGTAAGGGCAACATCATCAGATGCTGGCGTTGGAGCTTCATCAGGTGTATCGTGTGGTGCTAACTCAGAACTAGGAATCTCCTCAACACCTGGACCTTCCTCGGGATCAGGTTGTGGTTCAGTACTAGCAACCTCCTCAATTGCTGGTGCTGGAGCCTCCCCTGGATCAACTTGTAGCCCTTGTGTTATCTCAGTACTTCCCACCCCCTCAATTGATTGCGCTGGGTCTTCCTCGGCAGCTGTTTTTGACTCAGTACTAGCAACCTTCTCAATTTCTGGCGTCGGAGCCTTCCCTGAATCAACTTGGAGCTCTAGTGTAATCTCAGCACTTCCAACTTCCTCAGTTGCTGGTGCTGAAGCTTCTTCGATAGTAGTCTGAGGATCAGTACTAGTAACTTCATTAATTGCTGATGCTGAAATCTTCTCGAAATTTATTTGTGGCCCTGGTGTAATCTCAGTAGAAGCAACATTCTCAATTGGTCGAGCTGCCACTTCCTCGTGTGCTGTTTTTGGCTCAGTACTAGCTACATCCTCAATTGGCACTGGACCTTCTTCAGGTGTATCGTGTGCTTCATTGGTAACAACTTGTGGCTCAGTAGAAATACCCTCTTCAATCGTTATAAGTGAAGCTTCCATCTTAATGATTGGCGCTGGAGCGTCCTCTAAAACAGCTTGAGGGACTGCTGCTGAAGCTTCCTCGACAGCAGCCTCTTTGGGTTCAACTTGTGGCTCCAGTGAATCTTCAGCCCTAGCAACCTCGTTAATTGCTGGGACTCGACCGTCCTCGCGAGCAGCCTGTGAAAGCGATGTAACTTCAGAACCAGCAACCTCCTCAACTGCCGAATTTGGAATTTCCTCGGAAGCTGTAGTAACTGCTCCAGCAGCAGCAATAACTTTATCTTCTGTTACTGGAGCTGCCTCATGAGCAATAGTTACTCTAGTAAAAGTACCAATTGCAGCTGCTGGCGTTGAAGATTCCTCGGAAGCAGCATTAACTTCTGCTAAAATAACTATCTCAGATGCGGTCGCATGAGCAGCAGGTTCTTCTGTTGGTGCAGGATCGACCTCGGCAGCAACATTTCCTTCTGCTGAAGTAACTATCTCAACTGCTGGCGCTGGACTTTCCTGAGAAGCAGCTACTTCTTCCGGAGTAACTATCTCAGCTGCTGGCACTGGAACTTCCTCGGAAGCAGTTACTTCTTCCGGAGTAACTATCCCAATTGCTGGCTCTGGAACTTCCTCGGGAGCAGCAGTTACTTCTGCCGGAGTAACTATCTCAACTGCTGGCGCTTGAGATTCCTCGGAAACAGGTACTTCTGCTGGGACTGGAACTTCCTCGGGAGCAACATTTCCTTCTGCCGGAGTAACTATCTCTGCTGCTGGCACTAAAACTTTCTGAGATGCAGTTACTTCTGCCGGAGTCACTATCTCAACTGCCGGCACTGGCACTTCCTCGGAAAGAGTCACTTCTGTCGGAGTAACTATCTCAACTGCTGGCGCTAGAGACTCCTCGGGAGCAGCAGTTACTTCTGCCGGAGTAACTATCTCACTTGCGGACACTGGAATTTCCTCGGGAGCAGCAGTTACTTCTGCCGGAGTCACTATCTCAACTGCTGGCGCTGGAACTTCCTCAGAAGCAGTTACTTCTGCCGGAGTAACTATCTCACTTGCGGGCACTGGAACTTCCTCGGGAGCAGCAGTCACTTCTGCTGGAGTAACTTTCTCAACTGCTGCCGTTGGAGACTCCTCGGGAGCAGCAGTTACTTCTGCCGGCGTAACTATCTCACTTGCGGGCACTGGAACTTCCTCGGGAGCAGCAGTTACTTCTGCCGGAGTCACTATCTCAAGTGCTGGCTCTGGAACGTCCTCAGAAGCAGTTACTTCTGCTGGAGTAACTATCTCAGCCGCTGGCTCTGGAACTTCCTCGGGAGCAGCAGTCACTTCTGCTGGAGTAACTTTCTCAACTGCTGCCGTTGGAGACTCCTCGGGAGCAGCAGTTACTTCTGCCGGCGTAACTATCTCATCTGCTGGCACTGTAACTTCCTGAGATGCAGTTACTTCTGCCGGAGTCACTATCTCAACTGCTGGCACTGGAACTTCCTCGGAAGGAGTTACTTTTGAAGGAGTAAGTATCTTAAGTGCTGGCGCTGGAGGTTCGTCAGGAGCAGTTACTTCTGCCGGCGTAACTATCTCAGCTGCTGGCACTGGAACTTCCTCGGGAGCAGCAGTTACTTCTGCCGGCGTAACTATCTCAGCTGCTGGCACTGTAACTTCCTGAGATGCAGTTACTTCTGCCGGAGTCACTATCTCAACTGCTGGCGCTGGAACTTCCTCAGAAGCAGTTACTTCTGCCGGAGTCACTATCTCACTTGCGGGCACTGGAACTTCCTCGGGAGCAGCAGTCACTTCCGCTGGAGTAACTTTCTCAACTGCTGCCGTTGGAGACTCCTCGGGAGCAGCAGTTACTTCTGCCGGCGTAACTATCTCAGCTGCTGGCACTGTAACTTCCTCAGAAGCAGTTACTTCTGCCGGAGTAACTATTTCAACTGCTGGCACTGGAACTTCCTCGGAAGGAGTCACTTCTGAAGGAGTAACTATCTCAGCTGCTGGCACTGGAACTTCCTCGGGAGCAGCAGTCACTTCTGCTGGAGTAACTATCTCAACTGCTGGCGTTGGAGACTCCTCGGGAGCAGCAGTTACTTCTGCCGGCGTAACTATCTCATCTGCTGGCACTGTAACTTCCTGAGATGCAGTTACTTCTGCCGGAGTCACTATCTCAACTGCTGGCACTGGAACTTCCTCGGAAGGAGTTACTTTTGAAGGAGTAAGTATCTTAAGTGCTGGCGCTGGAGGTTCGTCAGGAGCAGTTACTTCTGCCGGCGTAACTATCTCAGCTGCTGGCACTGTAACTTCCTGAGATGCAGTTACTTCTGCCGGAGTCACTATCTCAACTGCTGGCGCTGGAACTTCCTCAGAAGCAGTTACTTCTGCCGGAGTCACTATCTCACTTGCGGGCACTGGAACTTCCTCGGGAGCAGCAGTCACTTCTGCTGGAGTAACTTTCTCAACTGCTGCCGTTGGAGACTCCTCGGGAGCAGCAGTTACTTCTGCCAGCGTAACTATCTCAGCTGCTGGCACTGTAACTTCCTGAGATGCAGTTACTTCTGCCGGAGTAACTATCTTAACTGCTGGCACTGTAACTTCCTCAGAAGCAGTTACTTCTGCCGGAGTAACTATCTCAACTGCTGGCACTGGAGATTCCTCGGAAGCAGCAGTTTGTTCTACTACATTAACTATCTCATCTGTTGGTGCAGGAACTTCCCCGGGAGCAGCAGTTCCTTCTGCGGCAATAACTATCTCTGCTGCTGGCGCTGGAAACACTTCGGGAGCAGTTACTGTTGCTGGAGAAACTATCTCAACTGTTGGCAGTGGAACTTCGTCGGGAGCGGCAGTTACTTCAGACGGAGCAACTTTCTTAACTGCTGGTGTAGGAACTTTCTCGGGAATAGAAGATTCTTCTGTGGAAGAAGCTGTTACATCTGCTGGCGGTTCAGACGTAACAGGTTTTTCTGCAGGAGTAAATAGCTCAATTACTGGCTCTGAAATTTCTACAGGAGCAGCAGTTTCTCCTGTTAACGTAGGAACTTCTTCGGGAGTATCTAGAATAACTATCTCAGCTGCTGGCCATGATGGTTCCTCAGAAGTAGCAGTTACTTCTGCTGGAGAAACTATCTCAGATGCAGTCGGCTGAGCAGCATGTTCTTCTGCTGATGCAGGATCGACCTCAGGAGCAATAGTTCCTTCTGCTGGAGTAACTATTTCAGCTGCTGGCTCTGTAATATTCCCGGAAGCAGCAGATATTTCATCAAGAGTAACTATCACATCTTCTGGCGCTTCTGAGGTTGTAGGTTTTTCCGTAGGACTGAATAGCTCAATTACTGGCTCTGGAATTTCTACAGGAGCAGCAGTTTCTCCTGTTAACGTAGTATCTTCTTCGTGAGCATCTAGAGTTGCTATCTCAGCTGTCGGCACTGGAGCTTCTTCGGAAGCTACAGTTCCTGCTGCTAGAGGACTTGATACTTCAAGTTGCTGCGTTGGTGGTTCTGTGGCTGCGGCAGTTAGGGTAACTTCCTCAGTAGCTTGTGTTATAGTTGGAGCTGGTGCAGCAGTCTGGGGCTCTACAATAACTTCTGCTTGAGTAACTAATTGTGCCAGATCTTCCTGAGGAACAAGTTTTGTTTCTGAATTAAGCCCAGCACTAGCAATCTCATTTATTAATGGTGCTGCAGTTGGTGTTTCTCCAGATATAGGGTGTTCATTAGGAGAGAGTTCCGTTTGTCCTACAACTTCCACATTTCCCTCCTTTGGTTGAGAAATTTCTTCGGTAGTGGTAGATGGAATCTCACTCGCATTAACAGGTGACATGTGCTTGTGTTCTTCTACAGCAGTTTGAGATTTATCGACTTGGTCAGCGGATTGTGCTTCCGTAAACTCTTCCTCAATAATGTCCAGAGAGTGTTGAGCTAGCTCCATTGTGCGAGCGTTGATTTCAGCCAGAGCCAAATCACTTAGTTCCTTGAGTGTATGAATTTCTGTGGCAGTCATGACAGCAGGTTGTTCAGATGCTGGAACCGCGAGCATGGGTCCCAGTGCAATGGCTGCTAGTATTTCAATAACCGAAGGTATGTTTTCATGTAGCTTGCTGTCATCTAGATATTCAACGTCACCGAAGCCTGTTAAGCCCTCGAGATCGCAGAGTTCATCTGAATCACATTGGGCTGCTGTAACACATAACGACTGCTGAATGCCGCTGCTTCAAAACTATGCACAGATACGCTGAGGTTTATACAGGTGGGATCCGCTAAGACTAGGGTAAGGTCTAAGGGACTAGAACTCCTAAACTAATAAAACTTAAAGCAGGATGTATTGTTTAAGTGAATATAAGTGGTTAGCTTAAAGGATGAGTTGTGGATTTGTTGAAGCAAAAATACTTGTGCAGTTACCTGCGATCAGTGTCTGAGCGGGATCCTCAGTAATTTCATCATCTTGAAAGATCATGGGTGGCGGCGGCGCCATCAAAGTAGACGACGTTTTCTGTTCTTCTGGCTGTGGCACTGTGGCCACCGTGGGCTGTTGGACGAGCGGATTTGTGGTCTCGGTAAAAGCGGGTTCGTGCTCCGCTGGCAAAGTATTTGAGGTCAAGCTTGTGCGATCCACCAGCTCGTCCAGCACTAGTTTGGTATTCTGTCCACCAATTAGGTGTTTGCTTAAGAGCCGATCATTTAGCTCATTGCAGCGCAGCAAATCCAGGGATGACTCCTCTGCGTCGGAGCCCATTTCCGACAGATCGCTAACCTCGTCGGCGGTCCGATCGCCAATCTGAGCGCGTACATTCTCCTTGGGCGCGGGCACCAGCATGCCTATGCTGCTCGGTGTGGCCGAACTCTGCAAGGTGCTGCGCTTCTTCTTGAACAGCCAATTGTCCTCCCAGGTGCCATCACCGACCAGGCTCGATGACATCGAGACAACATCTGGAAAGAGACAAGAAGATATATCTATGGTAGGGTTCGATTTTGGGATTGAGCACTCACCATCCTCCGATTCGGTAACGGATGCTGAGAAATCCGGCAGCGGCACCATGTGAGCGGCTATATAGTCGCTCAAGACCGACTCACGTTCCACGTCCAGCTGTGAGCCAGCATGTGCTTCGGCTTTGCCAGTCTGAAAAGATGAAATATTTATAGATAAAACGATTTGAAAAGCTCACAACTAACATTGTGTACCAGTTCATGGTCCGTCAGGCTGCAATCGCTGCGCGGCTCTATTGAACTTCCGGACGTAGTGCTCAACGCTTCGGCATTGTAATTCTCATCAATGTTGTGAGCACTCAAGTCCGGGGTACTCTCCGAAATGAGCCTGTTATTGCCCTCCTTGTCCGCAATCTGTAAGAAAGTAGAGCTCTTATTAAACCCAGACTCAATAGGAATAACCTTAAACTAAGGGTTTTGATTTTTTTGGAAAACAGTAAAATAAAAGACTGTGCAGCACTGAAGCTGCTTGCGACCGGCAACACTTGTCAGCTGTGTTGAAAAACGCTGTGTTGAAAATCAAGACTCAGCTATGCTCAGCTATGTCGTCATGATTGTACCTAAAACTAGATCGATTTCAGCGTGACGCAGCAGAGATTTACGCAGAAGTAAAACAGATTAATCAATCACTTATGAAACCTATGTTAAACTAGGCGAAAATATGACTGGTCGATAAGATATGATATGGTCTTTTTTTTTCATAAAAATAGTTGCTACTCTATGTTTTAATTGAGATATTTACATGCTGGGCTGGCTCTGCCATGGCGAAATCCAGAATAAAACCAATTAAATATGAATTTTGGCTATGGAAAATCGAGTTTTTCCTCCGACTGAAAAGTCAATGATCCAATTAGCGTGTAATGGGCCAGTTGATGTCTTTTGCCGTTTAAAATTCTTTCAGGCGTCCGCACGCTTGCAACAATGGGCAGCAACTAATTAGTGGGGCATGCAACTGTGGTGGCTTTGGGCCAATTGGGAAGCCCGGCAAGTGCGGCTCAAACGAAAGTGAAAACTGAGCGAAGCGGACGTTTAAGGAAATTGCCAGAATGTGGCGCGGATTACACGCGAGGCCAACACGTTGCTGCTCCAGATGCAACAGTTGTTCTAGGAGGTCAGTTTCCCAATACCCTCTAACCGTTGACTTTAAGAAGAGTATGCCCGATTTGAGCAATTGTATGTAACTGCAGGATTTATCTCAAAGAATATAATAGCTAGGGACTACAAATTTGAAAAGTAGATGACTTCCAATTTCCGTAACTATTTTTACTCTATCTTTGAATTGGAAAAGTAGATGTTTGCAAATTATAAGCAGAATTGTTTTTTTTCCTTTTGATATGTCTTCCAATTTAGGTATCTATTTGCATTCTATCTTAAAGCTCTCTCTAATAGCAATCGGATTATTTAAATTTGCATCTGTGCATGTTATGTATGCCTGACTACAGGGTATCTAGTAGTCGCTCTTTCACTTGTTCTTACCTTATTGAGCACCGCTGTGGCCAACAGATCCTGATAGATTTTGGGCTCAAAATAGTGCTCGGTGCGATGGCGTCGCTTGCTGTTGCTGCCGCCATTGCTGAAGCCCGGCAGCTGCCCATTGGAGCGCGTGTCCAGGCTAATCTCGGAGACGGCGCCGCTGGGGGGATTGAGGAGGAGGCTGTTGCTGCCGCTGCGCAGCGTCTCGGCGATGATTGTCTCAATGAGACTGCGCAGACGCGTCTGCGATATGTCCGCCAACTGTTCATTGTTGATGCTGTTGTTATTGTTGCTGTTGCTGTTGTTGTTGTTGTTGTTGCCATTGACAATGGCTGGCAAATCTGTAAGCAGGCGAATTGGTCAAGAAAGCATTTGGCAGTCTAAGAATAGCATGGCAGGGGCATGGTTAGCACGAAAGTCAGTTAAAAAACGAACAAAACAAATGGAAAAGTGAAAAGTCGCCAGTTGTGTGAGTGTGGAAAGTGAGTGAGTGTGTGAGCTGATTGAGGAGAAGGCATACCTAATTTCACCTCAATGACGTAAACAACGTAAAAAACAATTACAGCTACGACGGCATACATGCCAGTTATCAGGCCCAATGTAAAGTCCATGCTGCATGCACACACACAGAAACAAACGAGTATTCGACGAGTTATTCAGTTACATATACGAATAGGTTGAGTATTCACTTTGGGCCAACATCAATCGATATGAATTAGTTGCCTTATTTGTTTATTGTTTTTATTTTTGTTTTTTTTTTTTTATTTTTAGTCAAGAGTCGCTAATGCCGTATTTGTATTTATTTGTATTTGGCCTGTGTAAATATTTATGTTCCGGTTTTAATTAAAACACACACACTGACACATGTAATACACGCTTTGAGTAGCAAATTACGCATACGCCGCATTAACCAGCCCCCTCCCTCTCTCTCTCTCTCTCTCTCTCCACCATAAGTTTGTATATTTAAAGCTGAGCTAAACGCTTGAGCAGACAGGCAAAGGCAAAAGTCCAGGCTCAAAGAAAATAAATATAAATGAATATATATATATATATATATATATATATATATATATGTATGCATTTGTATCTGCACGCATTGTAAACAAAACAAAACAACGCAAAATAAATGTATCTTTTGCTTCTTCTTTTGTGCTAATATCTTGTTTTTCTTTTAGCGGTAAAAACATAATTAATAACCTCAAGTTATCTATTTTGCCTATACAAAAGCCACTAAATTTCTTTATCGCCTCTCTGACAGGTCTATTGTGTGTGTGTGTGTGTGCGAGTGTGCGTGTGTGTGTGTGTGTGTATCGCTTGAGTGCCGTTAGTCATTGAAGAAATGTCAAAGATTGAAATGTATCTGCCGCATTTTGTATACAACTGTCATTAATGAAGCAGAGCCGAACCTGAACTAGACAAGCTGAACCTCAACAGGCACAGATCACAGCTAAATATACCCTATATATACCCTATATATATATATATATAGTCTAAGTGTGCTGTGCAAGGTACACAAGTCAAGTTCAGTTCAAAGTTCCTGTTACTTCCACTTAAGCATTTAGTTATTAACTTTAACACGTTTAAATACAGCTCTTAGCTTGTTCAATTTATATACACACACACACACACACATTTGCACATTTATAAAATGTGATTAAAGTCGTGACATTGATTTAGCATATTTTGGCGCATAATCTTGTGCGCTCGATGCCATCATTAATATTTATTAACATTGATTAAATATTTTTTCCTGGTTTTTGCTGTTTGGGCCACGTTTAAAGTTTTGTTGTTAAATGTAGTTTTATTTTTTTTGCCAACTTTATTCAAGGGTCAAGGTTGGCATATACATAAGCTCAAGAGTTGCTTTCTCAATTGAGTAAATGTGTGTGTGTGTGTGTGTGTGTGTTATCTGTTATCTGCGCAGGCATATATATACATATATATATATAGATATTTGCATTTGTATTGCTCGCCGTTTATTGCTTGACTTTACTTTTTACTATGCGTCTTTCTTTTATTTTCTTGTTGCTTTATTTGTTATCATTATCACTTTTGGGCACTTGCTTTTTTTCTTCTTTTTGCTTTTACTTTGCACGCTTTGACGTAAAAAACGTTATTTTATGTGATTTTATTTTATTTTTTTTTTTAATAATTTTTCACCCGGCTTTTGGCTGCTCGGCGCGCGGCCAAAACGTTGCGATCAGCGCGCGTTGCGTCTGGCAACTGCCGCAAGCAGCCGCAGCAGCAGCTAACAACGTGTGAGTGTGCCAACACACACACACACACACACACAGTTATAGACATATCTATAGCTTTGTAATGGCATACAAACAGTCCGCTATTGTTTATTGAGGTATTTCGATATTCGCGAGCATTGTGCTTGAATTCTCTCCATGAGAATTGAGCACAAAATTTCAAGTCTTTCAAATATGACATATTTTAAAAATATTATACATTTGTGTATTTGGATATAAGCTTGAAAACAGCTTTAAATAATATCTAAAGAATGTTTTGCTAAGTTAACAAACGGTTTATTCTGATTGATTGGTTGAGTCAGTGATTGACTGATTGAGTGACTGACTGATTGATGATCAACGCAGAGCTCAAACCGTTGAAGCTGGCTAGATGAATTTTGAATTAAGTCGTGGAAAAGTATGTGGAAAGGGATACGAAAAACTGTCTGGCTGATTGATAGTCGTAATCCGCTTGAATTTTATAGATTATACAAATTTGACTTTAAGTAACTTTATTAGAAAACAAAACACTTAATCGTAGCTCTGGTAAATAATGCTCGATCTTGACAATGTCAATGTCTTTCTGGATTCGTAAAAGTTAATTAAATGGATTGGAATGGAACACAATTTTAAAAGTTGAAATGTCAGAAATAGCTATTTTCTGTTTTTATAACAGATCTGTCTTTATAGGTTTTTTTTTGTAGCAACGACTTGAAGTGATTGACATGTTTATTTGCAATCGACGAGTTAGCATGTCTCTAAGTTATTACACCCTCGAGAGACGAACATGTTTGACTTTGTAATTTGAATGATGGGGCATTTAAAGGCACTCAGACACTAAACTCTAAACTCCAAAATGGAAACTTGTTGAAGTTGCCTCGACTAGCCGTGTAAATTGTCAATTTGCAGCTGCTGGAACCAGTTGCTGAGCGATGTCGGCGCACGTTGCGTATGATTAATGCGCGTATATCTCGGCTTGTCATCTGGTTAAGGCCAACTGTCGCTACAATGTGCTTAAATGTGCTTACAAAGTGTCGTACTTGTCGGTATTTCAATAGACCAGACAATTCCCCTTATCAGCTCCATATGCTTTGCCTTATCAGGTGCCTGTGTGTGTGTGTGTGCGTATCGCTGTTATCAATGAATGTTGACCGCGATTTTGGTTTAGTCTTGTTGTGCTTTGTTTATTTTAGTTGGTCTTTATTATTTACTGATAGTCATAGAGAATTTTCGCTACATAATCAACGATTGCCTCAGTTTTTTGGTCAGCAATATTACAACATCACGTATACGTCCGACTCCGAGTCATCCATACATACACATACACAAAGCGAGACATCTACGTGCATTATAAATACGATATACGGTTTTATGGCCATGATTCATGCCCAGATACGAGCAGGTTATACAGCATTCAATTTAGATAGCAGCTAGCAGGCAGCACTACATCATGTTAGGGCGTGGCATATGCCACATACATAGTACATTCAACAGGACTCGCTACGACTTACCTCCCTTGAACGCGCGAGCGCACAAAGTGTTCTCCACATTGATAAGCAGGTTGCTCAGTTTCGCATGATATTTATCAAACAGCTGCAGGTCTGTGTGCAGTGTGATTGTAAATGTGTGTGTATGTGTGAGTGCGTGTGCGTGTATTGATAAAATTTAACATTAAGTATGCAATGAACTTTGCCAAAAGCTTCAGCTGTCAGTAGAGCCAAAGCTTTAGCTTGAAAAACAACAGCAAGTATGCAATAGTCTTTTGTGAGCGCGTGCTTTTACTGAAAGAGCTTTTTAAGCTTTTATTTTGATAGCGAAGTAAAAGATTTAGTTCTTATAAAATCAGTTATATAATCCCCAAAGCTTCTTTGAGATCTTCAATTAGTTTTTAAATATATATAGAATCTAGTTTGATTAAAAGAGGACAATATATATTCTCTAACAGGCTTGCATTTAATTCTGTAAAGAATATGAAATTTTGGATTAAAAAACCTTTAAAATATTGTTAACAAGACAAAATGTTTCTTTAAATACCTATTGCCATCAAATAACTTTGCTCAAGAGAGATTTGAACGGATTTTGTGGACTATTTTGTGCTGCATACTTTTAGGTGCTTTAGAGAAAAATGAAAAATATTTTACTTTTCTAACTTGCGAAATTGCAGAGTTTTTGCAATTGAGAACCAGGCAAAGAGACTTGGTTCATTGCCCTAGTTAAGACTGCATAAAAAGCTGAGTATATATAGCTAGAGCTTTAGACTATATGCCTAGGGTAGACCAGACGGTATATACAGCTTTACTATATTATTCAGCTGCTCTTTTAATTCGCAGCAATTGAGCGAATTTGCACTGCCGACTGCTCTGACAATTGCATTTGCACTTATCAAATCTAAGTCAATCTGAATACATGCTTGATTTTTTTTACTTACAGTTCTCGCTTTTGGACAATTGACCGACTTTGATGTGATCGAGATTGCCGCCGAGCATTTCCGCTACGATTTCCTCGACATATTCACGAATGCGGCTGCGCTCGTCCATATTCATGAGGGTCACGCTGTTGGCGCCGACTTGGCTGACGCTCTCGAAGTCTGCGGGAAATGGGAGCAAGGTGTTAGCTGTAATTCGGCTAGTTTTGGCGGCATTTTTACTTACGCATCGAGCTGTCGGCCATTTCTGCACTGATGGGAATATAAATTTCGCTGCGTGCGCGCAAAGGATAAACGAACTTTTGCTGATTGAAGGACATCTGTTCGGCCACCCAGGAGGAGGTCTGCTCCAGCGATTGCTTCGAGCTGTGGCACAGTTCGCATACCCATTGCGCCGCCTTTGGCAGCCAATCGGCGCACTTGATGCCACGGCAGACGTGCTTGCCGCACGTGCAACATGTGACATAGCTGTGGGAGAAAGAGTGCAAGTTGTTAGCGAGGGGCAGTGGAGGCGTGGCAGGTGATTTGTTACTTACTTTTTGGCACTGCTCAGATCCAGGTCCGCACAGCAGACATTGCAGCTGTGCTGCTCCGAGCTGGCATTCGCCTTCTTCTTCTTAACAGCTATTTTGCTGCAAATCAAAAGAAAAGAAACAAAAAAAATTCAATTAAAAATCTCTTTAAAAAAAAGCTGTTTTCGAGCTAATCAAATTATGCAAATGAATTATAACTGTTTGCGCAGCTTTAACTCTGGATATTCAAGCACCGATTCTTGACACAATTCTACGTCTCTGTTTTGTATACTTTCCTTTTAGCATCAATTTGCATTGATTTCGTTGCGGCTTGTGACGCAGAACCAATTTTCAAATTAGCTAAGAAAGAGCCGAATTGTTGCCAAAAGGTTAAACAACTCTGTGAAGGTTGCGTTTTGCTAATTTCTGTTTAATTTCAAATTTTTTGTTTTGCCACAATATGTATAATTAGTTAACGAAACCGAAAACAACATTCATAAGCGATTCTATATTTCATGTTCCGATATATTGAAAACAAGTTCCGTAGCCAAATCGATACTTCAATTAAACTTTACCATTTTCACACTCTTTTCATTATTTTACCATTGCATCAAAGGCGGAAGAAAAACGACATGGACCTGTTTAACGAGTAAAAGCTAAAAAACCCATGCAATTTATCACAATTTATTTACAAGCAACTTGCAATTGCTTGAGAAAGCTTGCAACACTGGACATTGTATAACAGTATAGACAGCTTGCATATGTTGGAAAGCCATGTTAAAGCACATCTCGTCGATTGCATAAGATAAAATGAAGAAGAAAAGACACAGTTCAACCAGTTTGATTCGATTAAAGCAAAAATGCCATAAAATGACTTGCAGTTGGTTGACAAGCTACTTGTATTTATTGAACTTTCAGTTAAGCTTACAACACTGGACATAGTATAACAGTATTGATAGTGTGTTTATATAACAAAACCATAATGGGAACATCACATCACATTCATTGATTAAGAAGAACCAAAGTAAAACCAGTTTGAGCACTGAAAAAAGAAATTCTCTAAAATGACTTGCAGTTTATTTACAAGCTGCTTGTATTAATTAATTAATCAGAACATAGCAAAAGAGCATAATGGAAAACATCACACGCAAAACTTAAATTACATTTATTGCTAGTTTTATGGGGATAACATATATATCTACAGTACAGTACAGTATAGCTACAGTAGAGCTTCATGTGCTGTTTGCATATTGATTGTATGTATTGATGTAATATGTAGATAATATTATGATTATGTCAGTCATTTACAATTTATGCAAATTTCTATACAAAAAACAAATGCACGTAATAGAAACCAAATACTCGAAATTATATGTGTATATGTACTTATATATATAAATATACTTTATTTAATTTTTTTCTTCTTTTTCTTTTTGTATATACATATATGCGTATATATTGGTTTGTTAACAACGTGCACAAAATATCAACGAATACACGAATTTGTTATTATTTTTCTCTTATTCTTTTTTTCGCTTTTCTCTTTTGCTTTCAATGAATTGGCAGAAAATTTTGCAATTGTTTACACGCAAACGAAACCGAAAATTATAAAAAAATTAAAGGCGTCAACTTTGTAGAAATTTGGCTTAGGCTAAATTGCAGAAAACTCAGTCGAATATATGTACATTATAGAACGGGCAATATCCCTATAGAAGTTGTTGTTGTTGTTGTTGTTGCTGCAGCTGCTGATGCTGTTGTTGTTGTTGTTGTTGTTGCTGTTGTAGCAGCTGCTGTTGTCGCTGATGATAACGCATACGCCTGCGCGCCCAATGCTCGTAGTTGTTCTCGAGATTCTCATAGTAGATATCCTCCTCGTACTCGCTGCCCTCGTCCCAATCGTCGTGATTGGGCGGACGGCCAAAGATGTGTGCACTGGTGGTCAGCTTGAGCAGCACCACCTCCATGGTGCAGGCCATGAACAGAAACGCGAATACCGCAAAGCTGATGGGCGTGCAGAGCAATTTCTCCACCTGGCACACCACAACGGACGTAATCAACATGCTGCTGGCTCGTTAAATCTCTCTGCTTCGGTTTCTGGACGTTTTGTTGTTGTTGTTGTTGTTGTTGTTGCTGTGTCTTATGTTTCAATTTGTCAGTTTGTTTTGTGTGCTTTTTCTCTGATTGTTGTTGTTTATCTCATGGATTGTTTTTTGATTTCGTACTGTAAATTTTTGGCACTGTGCTTGCTGTTGCTTTGGGGCATGGCAGCAAAATAGTTATGTTTTTTTCCTTCTATTTTCAAGTTTGAATTTATTTTTTTTTCACAGTTTTTGCAAAGCGCGCGCGCCAACGACAACTTTCTCGCACCAGCTTTGGTTCTGTTATGCGCAGTTCGCTTCGAGCGCGCCTTGTGCGGCCAACAGCTGAGCGCCTGGCAGCGACGTCGACGCACGCAGCTTAATGCCGGTTTTTGCATAGAAAGCAACGCGACGAAACAGCATGAGCGAGCGAGAGCGAGAGAGCGGCAGAGTGAGAGAGCGAGAGAGCGAGGCAAAAGCAAACAAACATAAATGCCAGACATGCGGATAGACAGGCAGACAAGCTCGTTGATGACGTAAGAGCTTGGAAGTTTTTTTTTGTATTTCTTTTTGAGTAATTCACGCGTTGCCAGAAGCCCATAGAAAAGAAAAAAAAGTACCATTTACAGCTGGCAAATGAAAAGCTTGGCAAGGCTGACGGCTGACGAGCAGCACTGGGACAGTGTTGGACAATCGGGAACGGGACAGCTGATGCTGCCAGCTACCACACTCAAATTCGTTTTTAATGTTGATTAATTGTTTGTGGTCTAGCATTTTCTTTGCTTAATCTTCGAGACTTCATTATTCATTGCAAATTGAAATTGTTGTGGAATAGACAAAATTCCGCAAACGGGTTTTGATTTCAATAAAATGTTATTTATGCATATTAATTTTAGTTATTTTGAAAATTGTCGCTATTGGAATTTGTCAATTTATTGGACTGTCCAATGATGCGCTGACTAATAAATGGCGCCCAAAATGAAACGGGTTTCTATTTTTTAAGAAACATTTAGAAACAACATCAAAACAAATCATGCTATAAATAATATATATCTACACCTCTATCTTCTCAATGATTGTTGTGCAATACGTTTTATGCACTTGATTTTCAGACTCATTGCCAGTGTCAATGCCTCAATTGCTAATTTGCTGCTGCCGTGTGGCAATTTACAGGTATTCATTGTGTTCATACTAACATTAACCGCAAACGTGTAGCTTAACAAATTTTCATTTTGTTATCTCGTTTAGCTGCCGCCTGAAAGCATGCTACAAATTTCGCACGCGCTTTGAAGCTATGCAACACTTATTTGGCTTTTTACATGTTTGGCAACACTTGATTCTTTTTTAATATTTATAGAAATTGTGCGTTTTTCAACTGCCAAAAACTCGCTTTGACTGCTTTTTAACCACTTTCGTGAAGACACGAAAAAAATGAATTCTCTGTCACATTTGTTACACATTTTTTTTGTTTGTGACTTTTCACTTGCTGCGTTTGTGACTTGAATCTAAATTCAACCAGTTTTTAATCCCACTTCAAGTCACATTAAAGAATTTAACGCAGCAAAAGCAGGTTAAGGCATTTAGGAATTTGGACAAATATGTTAGAAATAAAAATAACTCACATAACTTTCATTTGCTCTTAATTTAAGTTAAGCTGACTTAACTGTATAGACAATTAGTTTTTCTTAAAGTGAGACTGTACTATCTTAATATCAATTATATCACTTAAAGCTCTGATGTGCTTTTAAAGCTCTTTTATGCTTTAAACTTGCAAACATTAAGCTTTAAGTGCCAATTGCGTAACAAGACTTAACATATATATTACATATATTAACATACATATATTTTAGGCTTTTTAACTGGTGAGTTGTTTAGTAGCCATTTTCTGCTAGTGTAACGGGGGCTTATGCATTAAATACTTTGGCCAACTGACGTTGACAGGCGGTAATTGTAATTATTAAGCCATAAACTGATTGACTGACTGACTGACTGACTGACTGACTTTCCATTTATGCATGAAGCGTCTCTCGTTTTCAGTTTTCCGTTTTCAGCTATTTCAGTGCCAGTCACAGCACCCATTGTGCAGAAAGTGAGCTTGGCTATGTGTTAAATGCCAGCCGATGATTGTTTATACAATTGAAATGTGGAGAAAAAAGAAGCAATGTTTTTCCAAGTATTGTCATTACTAATACTCAATATATGTATGGTACAATAAACAAGCGCTTAATTGGCCTGGCCAGAAACACACAACGAATATTGAGAGCTAATTGGTATTGTCAACTCGTGTTGTTCCTATATTTATATAAATAGATACAGCTACCGTTAGCCAAGGGTTCTTAACGATTTCCGCTTCGGGGCGTTTGCCAATTTGTGGCACATTGTTATGAAATGTACAACGAACGGTAAACAATAATCGATAGACAATCGGAATTGGCAACAGCTGCCGCTGACCAATTAAAGACATTGGCGAATCAAATTATTACACAAGCTGCTGAGGAAATCAAACGCTGAAGGCTGCCGCCACCTGCCGAATAAGACAAACCAGAGCCATAATAAAAAACAAACAAGAGTGCTCTAGCAGAGCCTGCAAGACTAGCAGATACCCCGCACAAACTCAAAGCACGGTATCTCTAGGCTTTTCCATTCCCGAGTTATGCTTAATAAGCTAGGCTGGCAATCGATATTTATCGATGTCGTGCAAAGATATCGATGATTTGCAAGTCCTTAAACCTCTAGCGGAAAGACACAGATCTTTATGTGGATCGATTGTTTCTTTTGGCCCTTTAATTCCACAGCCATGCTCAACAAGTTAGGCCGCCAATCGATATTTATCGATTTTGTGGACAACTATCGATAAATTGAAAATCTGAAAACCTCTAGCGGACAGACGCATTGCAGATCTATATAGTATACATACTCTATAATATAATATCAAAGCCATTTTGTATTTGGTACAGGGTATACAACCCAAACACGGCTCGACATCAATTATGTCAATCCAGTTTGTTTGTGCAATTTGTTAAATACTCTTTTTTGCTAACACACGCAAACGTAATCAACACGTAACTGAACATAAAATGAAAATCCGAAATGAAAATGAAGCTGTAAGGCTGCGGTCCATTTTGGATGCCACAGCAAATGGCCAACTCCAAGTTGGCCCAGAGAAATGCGTTGCACGTGCGACAAGTGGCATTTGATTGTGCGTCTCACGTAGCAGGTTCAGCTAGTTGGTGGGCCAAACGTCGCGCTGCCACTCACCTGAGCAAATGTTGGGCGCCACATTGCAGCAGATAGGCGCCTCCAATCAAGCCCAGCACGCTGGTCAGGCCCAGGAACAGATTGTTGTTGCCACGATACATTGGCAGCTCCATGAGGCAGATGTAGGGACGCGCCAGACGCTTGCAACACTGCGAAAATGTATTTGTCATTTGTGATTTGTCATTGAATCCGATGTTCAAACATTGAAGCACACAACACGTTTGCTGGCCCAACAATAACCCAAACACGAACTCAATCTGGCAATAGTTCTTGGCCGGATTATCAGTCTCGTATGGTAAGAGATATGGCTATCATTGCCTTTGACATTGTTGCTGTACGTTTCTTATCTCAATGCCACATAAACATGAATACACGTAAGTGCGTTAAGTAATAAGTATATATATACACCTTTGCCTGGCTTTCAGCCAGCATTTGTATGGGCAGGTGCTAAATGGCATGCTCTACGCGGGGTAGTTGCATTTTCTGTGTCGATTTGTGACAGCTGCGCGAACTCTACTTTTATTTTTAAAACTGACTTCTTTCAAATAATCAAAGCTGTATTGCTTGGCAGAAATAAAAGATAAATCGTTCGGTTATGTTTTTAGAACTTTTTTTACATTCACTTACAAAATACTTTTTTAAGTTTATGCTAAATAAATGCACAGCTGTTTAAAATGAATGACTAAACTTGTGTGTTTTCTGAGACTGATTAAACACTGGCTGCCTCATTTACTTTTTGCGCTTTACAACACACACATGCCTTTAAGTGTGCTTTTTGTTTTGCCAAAAAGCTTCTGAAAGCTTTAATTAAGATAAATTATAAAGGGAATCAAGTGACTTACAGCCTGTTAAATATAAATCTCTTTATGAACAAATTTTGATCATTGTATTCGTGATTAATCCGGATTACTTTTTAGAAAGTGAAGCATGATTAATCACGTAAGATTTAAATACAAAGCAACTGCATGATTAATCGGAAATACATGTGTCATTTTAAGGCAGTTTCGCTGCAATTGAGAACCCAAATTGTTGTCAGATATCTTCCTGCACTGCAGTTTTTTTTATCAAAATACCAAACAGCTTTTCACAAATTGAAGCTTGGACGGAGTACAAATTCATAACCCGTGTACCTGCTTATCAGGTGATAAAACAAGCTCGGTGTGTGCTTTCAGAGTTATTTTTAATCACTATCAATCACGAATGTATTTGTTTACTTGTTTACTTCTGAGTCGTTTGAAGATTAAACATAACTGATTAATGCAAAGAAGTTTCCTGGCTTTTGTTAATGTTGTCGGGGCGTGATCAAACGTTTTACATCAAGATGCTCTGGCACGTTGTCTAACACTGGCCATCGGCAATTGTGTGTACTTCAATGCGAAAAAACATGACAAATGCTTTATTCACATGGGCGGACATCAAAGTCGCTTATATTAATAGTTTTTAATAATTATTGTCTCTTCAACTATGAATTGTTGTCTTGCGCTTAAGTAACATAAACTTCACGGCGTCAGCTTTGAATAAATAATTAACCGAGCTGAGAACTTTTTGCTTTGCACTTAAGTATTTTTACAGCGATTATCAATCACTTTTTCGATATTTTTATAAACATTTTTTGCGTACGCGGCGCTCATTAATTGAGCCGAAGTTGATTGGCCCCGGGCACCTCGCAAACTCCGGCCGATTACGATTACGATCACGTGGCAGAGTCTCCAGTCCAGTATCTATTTATAAGAAATTGCGTGCACTTCTTTTGCTCTTGGCCATTTACCTACTTTTCCCGCCAGCAACTAACTAACTGACTTGGCCAAGATCTCGACGATCTTAGCGCAAAGGTAGAAAACTCAAGACTGCGACTGCGACTGCGTCGTTGGGTTTACTTTTTACTTTTTCCCCTCATATTTTTTTTGCATTTTAACGCTATTTATTATTGTTGTAGATATATACGGAGGGGTATTATATAGTCTTGCGTTTTGTTTGTTTTTGTTTTAAAAAGAAAAAAAAGTCAGGTATTCGCTTTTTGCGGCTTTTGATTTGATAACAACGCGCCGCGAGCACAATGATAAATAAATAATCATAAAAATAATAATAATAAAGGGACAACAACAAAAACGTTTTCAAAACGAAGAAGAAGCTACAAACGTTACGAAAAATTTCACAGATAAGTGTCAAGATTTTTGAGGTTATATCACAAGCTCCTTATAATTGGGACAGTTGTTCAAGAGCAACAATTTAATACAGAAAATTGGTCTGGATTTTTAATATAATTATGAATTTTGAATTTATATTATTTATGGGAATTTCTTTTGTTTTTTTTATTTTTTTGTGTGCGTTGTGGCGAGTATCCAAAGTGGAACTGGACTTATTTAGTCATAGTTTCTGGCCGTGAGGAAAAACTAAATCGCGTTTGTCGCGCAGATAACAAAGAATCAAAGAAGCGTAGGGAAAGAGCGACAAATGAACAACAAAGGTAGACACAAAATGGGCTAAAGGGACAGCTCAATGACTTTCTCATTAGCCAGCTCTTGGCATTATGCAAATTGTTGCTGCCACAAAGCAACCGCCATTTGGGGCCGCACTTTGTGGCATGTGCCGCTGAACTTGCTTCAAATCAAACTGAAAATCGATGCGAATCAACAAAGCCGCGCATTACGAGCTGAACACATTCCAATTGGGTCTGCTGTCGATTTGGCGGCCCAATTAATTGGCATTCATCAAATTAATTACGATTTTAGTGATAAGATAGACACAGACGTTGAGCACGCCTATATCATTGATAAGACGCAAGGTGAATTAAGTATGTGCTGAAAGTTGGCGTAAATATTCCAAAACAAAAAAACAAGAGCAAAAGTTCAAGTTAGGCCCAATATGTTGTGCGCTACAAGAGTAGAAGAAGAACCATTCAGTATAAACTCTCAAGAGACCCCTAGAGACTATTAGGATTTCACTCTGAATAGACCCCTAGAGATAAAGAAAGAGCTATCAAAAGAACAACGAAACTGAAATTCTCAAGAGATTTCTTAAGACAAAGATGAATATAGAGAAGAAGAACTTTTAGGCTTTAACTCTCAAGATCATTTTAGAGATTTAACTTAAAAAATATCTGTTTGATCCTAAATTTAGTCTTTAACAAAAGCTCCGTTAGATTCTAAATGTAGCGCTTCAGAAATATATCCAGATCGGTTCTAGCTAGCTTTGATATAGTCTTAAAGACCCTTAAAACTCTCAAATTAAATGGATGTAGAATATATAAATCTTAAAAAAGTTTTTAAACTTTAAATCTTTAAAGAAACTTTTGATAACGTCAGGAATGCAACCTGAATTAAGCTCCGATAGTTTCGTCAAATGCATATGAAAATCGATAACTTGAGTAAGCTTTCGATAACTATTCAGAACCAAGCGATAAATTAAATTTTAAATATTTGTAAAATAAAACTGATTAATTTTTATGTTATTATTAATCTATCCAAATAAATTCAAGCAGCTTCGAATAGAGTCTTTAGACATTGTATTTGAGTGGATGTTCGTATAGGAATGCAAAAGTTAGCACATCTATTGATAATAGTTCTGGTTTATTCTTGGCCAAGAAGCAAGAGCTAAAGCTAATGATGATATTACACAACCTTCAGCTAACAAAATTGTTAACGATGTGTTCATCTCCGAGTGTCTGACTTGGCAATAAAAAACACATTTTGAAGATGAGTAATGAAAAGAGTTTTCTCGGTTTTGTTTTTTTTTCTATTTTTTTTTTCTGATTTTTTTTAATGCTTTATTGTGTTGGCTGTCGAGTGGGAACATATGTATTCCCAGAAGAGCTCATTCAGATGCGCCTGGCATTATTTTATTGCTGACTGCACCTGTGAATTTTGTCATTTCGGGCAATTTCCTCTCGCCGCAATTGAGGTCGACAATTTACATAAATAATTGAAAAACTGCGAATCTCAAGAGACGCCTGCCACAATAACAATAACAATCGTTAATGGATGCAGTTTGTCGCACTTTGTTGTGCGCGCGCGCGTGTGTGTGTGTGTGTGTGTGTGCGTGTGTGTGTTGGCCATAAAAAGCACTCGAAACGCACCCAAACAAAATGCTAATCAAATAAACAACTGACTAAACAGCAGCAGCTGCATCTGTGGCATGCACAGATTGAAAGATCCACAAGATGTTTGCCAACCCCAACCAACATCAACATCAGCAACAACATCCGTCAACGAACATTTTTTAATATACCTTGCCATGGGGCATCATAAATTTACAATTATGTTCGTCTGCCTCGCATATCTGACTAAGTAATTGGGAAATTTCCATGAATATAAGCATAATTCATGCAAATAAAAGGGGTTTGAGTTTGAGTAAAGTTTAATTAAAGATGCCATAGAAGTGCAGATAACACTAATTTTAGATACTTTCAGAAGTTTGTTCATGAGGATATGTCATAACTCGTATTTCTGTCTCTTATCTGAAATCTGAAATGCAGACCTTTTTTTTGAGAAAAGGAATGATAATAATAATATATCGAAAAAAATAATGCTAATAAAAACAATACTAATAATTATATTAATACTAATAAATATAATAATAATGAATAAGAATATTAATAATAATGAAAACAAAAGTAATACGAATGATAATAAAAATAATCAATAATAATATCAAATATGTTTTATATTTATAATAATTATCATTTAGAATCAAAGAAGAGAATCGTCTAATTTGCAATAGATAAAATCGGAACTAACCTTAATCTATCGCGCAGCTGCTGGTATGTGGGCTGATCCCGTTGCAGCAGCTGCAGAATGCGCTGGCATTGCTGCAGACGCTGGCGCAGCTTCAAAGCTTGCGTATCCGTCTCCGCGATGACAATGCCGCTGTCGACGCTGCTGTTCAGCTGCTGTCCAGGGCTGCTCTGCGGGCTGTCGCCCGTTGTTGTTGTTGTCGCTGCTGCTGCTGCTGCGCCGACTGCAGTTGCGTCGGCGGCCATTTTGTTATTGTTGTTGTTGTTGCTTTTGGCGTTCGCTTTTGGTATTTGGCGCTTTCGCTTCACTTGAACCAGCTTGACACACAAACGTTCACTTTTAATCACAAAATTTGTTTTTGCGCTAAGCTATTTCCGCACGCACACACACACACACAGAGCCACACTCGCACACACTCGCACACACACACGCGTAGAGTAGAGTTAATGTAGCGCCAGTTGCAAACATGCAAATCGAGTGCCTGGGAAGCGGACGTCGGCGCCTCTGCTGCGCTGCCAAGTTCAGCAGTCAATGGGAATTCTCGCGCACTTCTCAACACTATTTTGCACAGTTTTTTTTTTTTTCTTTGCGTATTTTGTTTATTTTCTTCTCCTGCTATTTTCATTCACTTGTCGCTCGGCGCGCATATTGTTGTTAATTACGCGCCCGTTTTGGCCATTGTTTTTGGCCTCTTACCAGGGCCCATTGGGGCTTATCAGCTGCAGCGATATACAAATTTAAAAGTTCGGCTGGGCGGGGGGACGGCTAGAGAATTTCACTACAGCTCGTGTGTTTGCCCTTACGAAACATTTTGTACTGCAAGCAAAAAATATATATAAATAAATAAGAACATTTCAATCGGCTGTAGACGACTGCGCAATACTCTGCTCAGAGTGTAGGCGATAAAGCTGTGGCTCACAACCAGATCTGAGGGGGTCGCTTGAGCTGCCTGTGTGAAAAAGTCTTTAAAACTGAACCTGGCTCAAACTGGAGCTGCCCTTAATAAAGACAATAGAACTGTCTGCCGCGCTTAAACTAGATATTCTTTGTAACTAATGTCCGTAGCAAACCAACATGGACTATTTCATCTTGTGAGCGGAGTATAAGTTGATTTTTGTCGGTTTATTTTATGGCCAGAATAAACAAGTCGCGTTTATTGTTCTTGGTAGATAAAGCTTTGGCCGCGGCAGAGTATCTGCATCTGCAGCAGCTGCTTATCTCGGCCGGCTCGGCTCGTTTCGGTTCGTTTAGGTTCTGAGACTGAAAGAGCTGACGATCGCGACTAAGAGACACGGCACATCTGACTGTAGCTATATGTATTTTCCGATGATATGCGAACAGAGTTTGCCGCACGCCTAAATATGTAAATTGCCAAGACCTAGAAAGGCACGTAGCCGCATTTGGTAATTTCATTTAATGCACTGCCATCGATTTGCATAGTTGGTGAAAGGGAAGGCGGGAGGGTAGCAGTAGAGGGGAGGGGGCAAAAACAACGACTTGACAAAAAAAGCCCTCAGCATTGAGAAAGCTGCTCGGCCAATCTCCTCGAGCGCCGCACGCTCATCAAGGCACGCAGACGGGCAGACAATCAAGTCCATAACCATATTGAAACACAGCCCCTCGGGCAGACGAAGCAGTCAACATGGCGTTTAAAAAAGTTTTGCAAATCAAAATCCAAAAAAAAAAAAAAAAAAACAAATTGAAAACGCAAAGAGAAATTCTAAGACGACACCTGCGAGGGCAGTTCGAGAAATTAGACGCAATTAAAAATGTGAATTTTTATAATATAAAAGAATCAAGATAAAGAAATATAATATTTGATTTGATTTTTTTTTTAATATAAAACATATTTTTCCCAAGTTAAGGCTATTTCTTTTTTATTAATGAGCACAAAAGGTCTGAAACTTGATAAAAGTTTTTATGTACTACTTGAAATAAGTATTTCTTACTTTATTCAAGTTTTACCGGTATTAAAAAACTTTCAAGACCTGTTTTACTTGATTCACGTAAGAATTTCCTGATGTTTTTCTCCAAGGGCAGCAAATGTTTTCTTGAACTTTTAATCAAATGGAGTTTATAAAACGCTTTCTTAGACGCAGAAATTTGACTTTCATTCTTTTGGGACATTTTGAAGAAATCTCAATAAACCGCTAACTAAATGTGTAAATAATGACAGCTCATTTTGAATTTCAGCTCTAAATAATTAAAATGAATTTTGAATGTTTTTGCCCTAAAGCACTTATTTTTAGAGCTCGCCTCGCAGTTGTGGCACATGTGGAGGATAGTTGCCAGTTGCCAGTTGCCAGTTGGGGCAGTTAAATAGATGACAGATGAAATGCCAGAGTCTCTGTCGCAGTTGATGATGATGAGGATGATGATGATGTTGGACAGTTGCAGATACATTTGTATCTGTGTATCTGTGTATCTCTGACTGACGAAGCATTAAACGAGCGGAAGATACAAACAAAACAAGACGATTTTGTATCGCATTTCCAGACAACGGGACATGGATGGACTTAAGACAGACTCAAGACGCACTTGTTGATTATTTTTGCCCGT